CGGAATGGAATGGAGGAACTATATACCGTCACCTACTATTGTGGGGGAGGTTCCCAAGAAGAGAACAATGAAAGAAGTATCAGATGCGCGTAAGAATCGAGTGAGCAATAAGTTGCACAGTGATTGTCGCAAGAAATCATCAGTAGCGATGAGGCGCCATCCATCTCGTATGAGAACCTAAATAAAACCCTTTGGCAGTCGTTCGAGGATGTTAAATTTATCCGACGACCGAGCACGTAAGTGATGAAGTCGGGAAGTTATGGTAGCTAACCATAGTTGTTGAATTGAGCATAATGTCAACATTGTGCAATAACATCACGTCACTTCGATGTAGGGCGGGCCTTTCGCAGCATGACTACATGACTAAGTCGTATTTACCGTAGATCACGGTCGATGACGTATTGCTCACGTTAATATGTTGATGCACTGGTTGCATGGTATGCAAACGATGTTGCCTCGAGTATTAAGGCTGAAGACTAGTGGCATGTTGCTGCAAAGGAGTTGTGAAGCACATACCAAACTTTGACGCATTTCCAATGTGTACAATGCATACAGCTTGTGTAACCAGCTTACAATCCGGTGCCCTTGATAGGGCATTCGTTGTCAATTAACAGCAAAACATGCAGTATCGAATTTAGCGCCTCTGTAAATACGGTAGCACTATGTGTTCAAGGTTCAATAGATGCAGGAGCCATGAAAAGGGGAACCAACGGTTAGTACGCAATGGAAAAACCATGCTATACGATATGGGAAATTTTATGAAACGTGAGCCATTACGACATGGAATATCATCAGTGAAGTGGGTGTGTGAGGGCAAGCAACCCGCCTCTCGATGAGATCCACCTTTTGTATAGACCAAAAGGTCCGAATCACATCAGCTATAAGGTTAGATGTGCGCATAGAAGCGACAACCAACCAAATATTTCCAATCCATCCTCCAGCATTATGCTCGTAACGTGCATGCTCAAGACACGAGTTTGTGTTAACGAAAGTGCAATGATGTTGACAGATCGCACGCCAGATCGATATCCTTCCCCTTTTGGTGGTGTGACTTCATAAAAAGACGAAAGACTTCAAGGTGAGGGGCTGTGAAATGGTCAATCCAAATGGGGTATACACATCACAACGAGTCCGAATAAATCAAGTACGTGTGCGCTATCCACATGGACTTTCATGTCCTGGTGGGTTTTTCTACAATGAATGTTCATGTATGATATGTGAATGTAAGAGGATCCTTGTGCATGTATCCAAGCGTGCTGTAAAAAAAAACGGCTTGTGGCTCCCAACAAGAGCCTTCAATTAGCACATGGATATGGTCACACCAAGACGCTGGCATGGCTTGTCATACCGCGAAAGACTATGTCGTATACTGGAAATTGCTCCGAAATGCAGACCTTGCTAAAACCGAACGCTGAAAATCAGGGATTGAACATAAAAACGTTGAAAGTTCGACAATGATGACGCGTTTACGATAGGTCTCAAGGCGATGAGAATAGTTTTTTTTTTTTTTTTTTTTTGGAGTCGACAACTTTCTGTATAGCGCCAACTGAATGACAACAAGTACTCGACAATTGCGTAAACGATGTGCGCGTTTGCGTCACAGTCAGCCGAATCACTTCAGCGCCATAATTATGAGGAGTGGTGGTACGTCCGAGCGATAGCTTAGGAAGGGAGTGTTACCATTTACGGAAAAACACATCATAATGTTGAAATGGCAGCAAGGGTTGAATTGAACTCGACCACGTAGTTTTGGCAATTTCTGCATTAAGGCGCCGAATAATTGAGAGATATGGTACCGTAGATGGCAAAATTACTTTGGAAATGCCTCATTATCATGGCCCTCAGGGTACCCGTACCCCCCCCCCCCTCCCCCCCCCCCCCCTTTTTTTTTTTTTTTTTTTTTTGGATGCGCGGTGATATCACCAGTTTTCAGCGTAAGTACGCATATGCTCGACAACAAAGTCGACACTATTGTCCAACCATTACAAGTTAGCGATTTAGCCAGCAGAAAAATCCATCGCCGTAATTGAAACGGGTGTGCGTCCCAATAGAAGGTACGGTAGAAGCGTGTTAAGTGCTTCACATCCCATAATAGGGGAAGAACGCGTTACTAATTATTATGAGGCGTACAAATCCGGCATACCGCAATTAATTCAGACATAATGATGCACGCGGACGGCCTCTTATGCTGCACGACACAATACTGCAAGTGTCATGCTCTGGCCCTTACACTGAATCATAATCTTCTTTGGGCCTTGTCTTTTTTTTTTTTTTTTTTTTTAAGGCCATAATCTTATAGGCCACCACAATCTTTTAACACCAAATCAAGAGTTACACCAGTAACTGCAATTTCAGTTTGCACATAGCAGCGAGGGCAACTTCTCGTCCCTCATAGCTGTGGTAGCTGCTGTGTCGTCAGGCAGAGCAGCACCATCTCGATCTCGATAGCACCAGCAAATCACGCCACAGCAGATGCGCTATTGAGGCAGCAGCAGCGACCGCACGCTAGCAGCGGCGATCGTGCACCAGCAATGGCGATCGCAGGCCAGCAAAGGCGATCGCGCGCCAGCAGCGCAGATCGTGCCCAGCAGCAGCAATCACGGAGTAGCTGCAGCGAACGCGAAGTAGCAGCGGCGATCGGGCAGCCGTAGCAGAAGCGATCGCGCAGCAGCAGAAGCGACCGCACAGGAACAGCGATCGCGCGGCAGCCGCAGCAGCAGCGATCGCACAGCAGTGGCGATCGCACAGCAGCAGCGATCGCACAGCAGCAGCGATCGCGAAGCAGGAGCAGCAGCGATTGCGCGGCAGCAGCAGCAGCAGCAGCGATCGCACAGCAGCGGCGATCGCACAGCAGCAGCGATCGCGAAGTAGCAGCAGCAGCAATCGCACAGTAGCAGCAACAGCGCACAGCAGCGGCAACATTGATCGCACAGCAGCAGCAGCAGCGGCGATCTCGCAGCTCCAGCAAGATTCGTGCGCAGCAGCAGTAGCGATCATGCATCAGCAGCAGATAACAGGATAGCAGTAGCGATAGGACACCCGCAACTGCAGCGGTCTTGCCACATGCCACCGTGAGTTTGTTCCAACCGCAACAGCAGCAGCCGTTGTCTCGCCATGCGCAGCGTAAGCAGCAGCGGCTCGTCTCATAGCAGCAGCAACCGTCCCGGCAGCAGCAGCAGTCATAGTCGCTGCAGCAGCATCGCCAGCTCCAAGAGGTCGCAACGACCGCAGCCGCCGAAACGAACACCTCCTATGCAGCAGTATCGAGGAAGATCGCCACTGGTAGAAGCAGCGGCAATATGTTCCGCGCAGTATGTTGCACGTAGATGTATCAGCAGTGTATATTATGATTTTGCCATACAAAAAACGATTTTTGTACTTGCAATTGCAGAAACTTCCAGCAGATATCGCTTCATTCGTAGAAGCAGCATGTACGAAGTTCTCGTCATGTACGAGGTAGCAGCAATGGCGGGCGAGTTAGTCTAGGAGGGTGGAAAAGTTCCCTAGGTGTGCTGTTCTAGATTCAGATCTAGAAATGATTCGACTAGGTGGCAGGTCTGTGGACCTGCCACGAGATAAGGAGCAGATGACTCCTTACTGCATAATCCTTTACAAGTCTTGTCATAATCTTTAAATTTTGAAAATTGTATTTAAAAATTTTACATATTGCAAGCCGCGGCCATCAAGATTAGTAATCTTGATGGCCTCGGAAGTGTGTTACCCGATTCATTGACACGGAAGTTCGAGCGACCCCAACAGTTGTCCACAATCGTCGCGATTGGTTGGGTGGATCCGTGCGAAACTCTGCAGCCCTGGTCCTAACACCAGGCAGACTCCGAATACTCACCTTGACGCCCACAGCCCCGCAATTTGGGACTTTTGAAGTTCAATCACCGAGGAAAGCCCGGGAGAAGGGGCAACACACCTAGACCACTCACTCCAAGCAAGATTACTAATCAGGCCTTTGACCACTCACTCCTATACGCCCTCCGAAATGCGGAATGGAGAGACGAGCGATACATATAGGGCTACGACCAGGTTTACTAAAATCGCGAAGATACCCTCGACGGTGAGGAAGGTCTCAATGGTGACGTACATGTGACGCATCAATGTCTTCTCGGCGCCCAGCAACAGGCATAACTAGACGACATCGTAGGTGTGTACTGCTGCGGCAGGCATGACGCGATACCCAGAAAGCCTAGGGCGTGTGGGCGGGGAAAGTGCTTTGCCATTGTATACCACCACCAGACCGTTCTCATCGTCCCCCCGCTCTCATGCCGTTTGCATTCGGCTCGTCGCACACCGACGCTCGTCGCTCAACCAACCCCCGCGCTCACCTGCGATCTTAGGGAACCCGCGCTCACGGCTCGTCCGCGCTCGAAATCTCATACGCGCTCCTCGCTCATCCGCGCGCGAAATGTCATACGCGCCCGTCGCTCATCCGCGCCCGAAATCTCATCCGCGCACCTCGCGCATCCGCGCTCGTCTCTCATCCGGTCTGGCCCACAATCCGCGCTCGTCTCTCATCCGGACTGGCCCACAATCCGCGCTCGTCTCTCATCCGCTGTCGTATTAGGTGCGGGCTCGTCTCTCACTGCATGTGTGCGCCCTGTGAATTCACGAGCCCGCACCTAGACTGCATGTGGGCTATGCCGCCTGCATGTGCGCTATGCGACTTCATGCGCGCCATGCGACTGCATGGCCGCAATGCGACTGCATGCGCGCCATGCGACTGCATGCGCGCCATGCGACTGCATGTGCGCCATGCGACTGCATGCGCGCCATGCGACTGCATGGCCGCAATGCGACTGCATGTGCGCCATGCGACTGCATCTGCACCATGCGACTGCATGTGCGCCATGCGACTGCGGAAGACTGCAGTCCGCGCGCTCTACAACTGCATGCGCCTCCACCCCTCTTGCCCTTCGCGCGTCCGCGTTGCTCTCTCCCTCCGTCTCTTCCTCCGCTCTCCCCTCTGCCCCTCCCTCTCCTCCCTGTAGATGAACGACAGGCTCCAACGTCACAGCGCCCACGCGCCGCTCCACCCGCCGGGTCAGCGCCCCCCCCGCTCACCAGGCAGCGCCTTGCGCTCTGCTGGCCGCGTGGACAGCACCGGCGAGCATGCTGCACGCGGAGCAGGTGAGCGTGCAGTTCCCCCCTTGCCCATGCCTATCCCCCTTGCCCATGCCTATCCCCCTTGCCCATGCCTATCCCCCTTGCCCATGCCTTTCCCCCTTGCCCATGCCTTTCCCCTTGCCCATGCCTTTCCGCCTTGCCCATGCCTTTCCCCCTTGCCCATGCCTTTCCCCAATGCCCGTCCCTTTCCCCCTTGCCCATGCCTTTCCCCCTTGCCCATGCCTTTCCGCCTTGCCCATGCCTTTCCCCCTTGCCCATGCCTTTCCGCCTTGCCCATGCCTATCCGCCTTGCCCATGCCTATCCGCCTTGCCCATGCCTATCCCCCTTGCCCATGCCTTTCCCCCTAGCCCATGCCTTTCCCCCTTGCCCATGCCTTTCCCCATTGCCGGTCCCTTTCCCCCTTTGCCCATGCCTATCCGCCTTGCCCATTCCTTTCCGCCTTGCCCATGCCGTTCCCCCTTGTCCATGCCTTTCCCCCTTGCCCGTCCCTTTCCCCCTTGCCCATGCCTTTCCCCCTTGCCCATGCCTTTCCCCCTTGCCCATGCCTTTCCGCCTTGCCCGTCCCTTTCCCCCTTTGCCCATGCCTATCCGCCTTGCCCATGCCTATCCCCCTTGCCCATGCCTTTCCCCCTTGCCCATGCCTATCCCCCTTGCCCATGCCTTTCCCCCTAGCCCATGCCTTTCCCCCTTGCCCATGCCTTTCCCCATTGCCGGTCCCTTTCCCCCTTTTGCCCATGCCTATCCGCCTTGCCCATTCCTTTCCGCCTTGCCCATGCCGTTCCCCCTTGTCCATGCCTTTCCCCCTTGCCCGTCCCTTTCCCCCTTGCCCATGCCTTTCCCCCTTGCCCATGCCTTTCCCCCTTGCCCATGCCTTTCCGCCTTGCCCGTCCCTTTCCCCCTTTGCCCATGCCTATCCGCCTTGCCCATGCCTATCCGCCTTGCCCATGCCTATCCCCCTTGCCCATGCCTTTCCCCCTAGCCCATGCCTTTCCCCCTTGCCCATGCCTTTCCCCCCTTGCCCATGCCTTTCCCCATTGCCCGTCCCTTTCCCCCTTTGCCCATGCCTATCCGCCTTGCCCATTCCTTTCCCCCTTGCCCATGCCTTTCCCCCTTGCCCATGCCTTTCCCCAATGCCCGTCCCTTTCCCCCTTGCCCATGCCTTTCCCCCTTGCCCATGCCTTTCCGCCTTGCCCATGCCTTTCCGCCTTGCCCATGCCTTTCCCCCTTGCCCATGCCTTTCCCCCTTGCCCATGCCTATCCGTCTTGCCCATGCCTATCCGCCTTGCCCATGCCTATCCGCCTTGCCCATGCCTATCCCCCTTGCCCATGCCTACCCCCCTTGCCCATGCCTTTCCCCCTAGCCCATGCCTATCCCCCTTGCCCATGCCTTTCCCCCTAGCCCATGCCTTTCCCCCTTGCCCATGCCTTTCCGCCTTGCCCGTCCCTTTCCCCCTTTGCCCATGCCTATCCGCCTTGCCCATGCCTTTCCCCCTTGCCCATGCCTTTCCCCCTTGCCCATGCCTATCCCCCTTGCCCATGCCTTTCCCCCTAGCCCATGCCTTTCCCCCTTGCCCATGCCTTTCCCCATTGCCGGTCCCTTTCCCCCTTTGCCCATGCCTATCCGCCTTGCCCATTCCTTTCCGCCTTGCCCATGCCGTTCCCCCTTGTCCATGCCTTTCCCCCTTGCCCGTCCCTTTCCCCCTTGCCCATGCCTTTCCCCCTTGCCCATGCCTTTCCCCCTTGCCCATGCCTTTCCGCCTTGCCCGTCCCTTTCCCCCTTTGCCCATGCCTATCCGCCTTGCCCATGCCTATCCGCCTTGCCCATGCCTTCCCCCCTTGCCCATGCCTATCCCCCTTGCCCATGCCTTTCCCCCTAGCCCATGCCTTTCCCCCTTGCCCATGCCTTTCCCCATTGCCGGTCCCTTTCCCCCTTTGCCCATGCCTATCCGCCTTGCCCATTCCTTTCCGCCTTGCCCATGCCGTTCCCCCTTGTCCATGCCTTTCCCCCTTGCCCGTCCCTTTCCCCCTTGCCCATGCCTTTCCCCCTTGCCCATGCCTTTCCCCCTTACCCATGCCTTTCCGCCTTGCCCGTCCCTTTCCCCCTTTGCCCATGCCTATCCGCCTTGCCCATGCCTATCCGCCTTGCCCATGCCTATCCCCCTTGCCCATGCCTTTCCCCCTAGCCCATGCCTTTCCCCCTTGCCCATGCCTTTCCCCCCTTGCCCATGCCTTTCCCCATTGCCCGTCCCTTTCCCCCTTTGCCCATGCCTATCCGCCTTGCCCATTCCTTTCCCCCTTGCCCATGCCTTTCCCCCTTGCCCATGCCTTTCCCCAATGCCCGTCCCTTTCCCCCTTGCCCATGCCTTTCCCCCTTGCCCATGCCTTTCCGCCTTGCCCATGCCTTTCCGCCTTGCCCATGCCTTTCCCCCTTGCCCATGCCTTTCCCCCTTGCCCATGCCTATCCGTCTTGCCCATGCCTATCCGCCTTGCCCATGCCTATCCGCCTTGCCCATGCCTATCCCCCTTGCCCATGCCTACCCCCCTTGCCCATGCCTTTCCCCCTAGCCCATGCCTTTCCCCCTTGCCCATGCCTTTCCCCCTTGCCCATGCCTTTCCCCCTTGCCCATGCCTTTCCCCCTTGCCCATGCCTATCCCCCTTGCCCATGCCTTTCCCCCCTTGCCCATGCCTATCCCCCTTGCCCATGCCTATCCCCCTTGCCCATGCCTATCCCCCTTGCCCATGCCTTTCCCCCTTGCCCATGCCTTTCCCCCTTGCCCATGCCTTTCCCCCTTGCCCATGCCTTTCCGCCTTGCCCATGCCTTTCCCCCATTGCTCACCTCCTCCCCTCCCCTCCCTCTTCCGTGGGCAGCTACGTTGACGGAGAGCCAACGGACGGTGTGCAGCGTTTCTTCAAGTGGATGCTGCTGCTGCAGAGGTAGAGGTAAGCAGCGGTGGAGAGGCTAGGTGCAGCGCGTGCGTGTTGCCCTTCATGACTGGTTCATGCTGTGCCGTTAACCTGCCACCACCCCTCTGTTCATACCTCAGTCCCCAGCCGTCCCATGCGCTTTGCCGTGTTTGGGCTGGGCAATCAGCAGTACGAGCACTTCAACCTGGTATGCCCGTGTCATGCTCCACCGTTGGCTCGGCTGCCATTCCACCCAACACGCCGTGAAGCTGTTCAGCACCATGCTTTGTTGTCTCGTCCTTCAACGTCACCGCTCGCATGGCTGCTCCCCCATCCATCCTCATCGCCATACGTCCGTCCACCTCCCTCTCCACTTCCGTTCCATTCCCCCTTCCTACCCGTACCACTCAGATTTCATCTTTTGCCTTCCCATCACCTCCTGTTCCAACGCTCTCTTTTCCCTGCCCATCCCCTTCGCTGTGTGTGTGTGTGTGCGCGCGCAGATGGGCAACATGCTTGACACGCGCCTCGCTGCTCTAGGTATGCTGCTATCCCATGATCTCCCTGCCCTCCCTGCCTTCGCTGTACACGGGAGCCCTTGGCCCGTGTGCATGTGAGCTGGTGGGCTACGTCTCATCGGCACTGATTGGCAAAAGTTCTTGGGTTTCGGCAACCAGGTGCAGGGCAGGGATGGAGGAAGGACATGGTCCGCCTTCCCCATCCCGTCCTGCCCCATTCCGTCTTCCCCCATCAGCCTTCCCCCACCAGCCTTCCCCAACCCGCTTTCCCCCACCTACCTGAGACCCATCCGCCTTGGCACAACTGCGTTCCCCCATCCGCTTTCCCCCATCCGCTTTCCCCCATCCGCTTTCCCCCATCCGCATTAGCGCACATCCGCTTTCCCCCATCCGCTTTCCTCCCATCTAAGACTCTAATTCCCCGCCAAGTTCTGTTTTGCCCTGGAGGGAAGTCGGATTTTGCCCCAAGGGGGAGTTCTGTGAAGCCCCCAGGGGTACTTCTGTTTTGTCAGAAGTAGAAATTTCTCACCTGCCCCCACGGGGGGACTCTGTTTCCCGCACCTGAAGACTTTCCCTCTCTCCTCTCCTCGTCACCACTTCGTCCCTCCTGTTTTCCCATCCCAACCGACCAGATTTTGATTTTCAACCCCAGGGCATTCTCTTTCCAACCCTAGAAAATTCTCTTTCCCTCCATGTGAGATTCTAAATCTCGGGCAAGTTCAGTTTTGCCCCAAAGGGTAATTCTGTCCTGTCCCTATGTTGCCCCCAAGGGGTAATTCTGTTTCCCCCACCCTATTCCATTCCAACCCATCCTCTCCTTCCTCAGCAACCCATAGTTTGGTGCATCTGCTCATTGCTCCTCGAGCCAGCCCCTCCAGCCATTTAGTGGCCTCCATTTGCCCAGGGCAACTCCCCACACGCTAGACACTGTAGCACCCCACCCCACCCCACCACACACCACCCCACCTCTCCTCTTGACCCCTCCCATCCCAACTCCCGGTTTCCCGTCCATTCCCAGGGCGAAGCCCTCACTACAGTACAGCACTGTCGCCTGGGATTATAGGCAGCACTCACCTGCACAGGTGCCATGCCATCGCCCTCGACCCCTGCGCATAACAACACCGGTAACAACTCCCCTTCAAGTTGGCCGCCGCGCCAATGCCTGCATGTGTAAAACGCCCACGGTGGGAGGGGGCAATCATATCGCACCAACTTGCTGCCTTACGAGCACTGTTGTCGCTGCTTGTTTCATCGCACTCCCCACCCCTCTACCCTCTTGCGCTCATCACTCTGTTCCATCCACAACTCCCAAGTCCGTTCCCGCTCATGAGCTCTCCGCAATCATTTCTTCCATCTTGTCAAATCAAACTTGCTCTGCTTCCATCGGACTCAATAGTTTCACATAAACTTACCCATTGATATGCTCAGTGCCACCACCCCATTCTTCCACTTTATTCTCCTAACCATTATCCCCTCACCTATCTCATTCCGTGACCACACCGTACCTACTCCAAACTCACCCCGCATCTCACATCTCATTCCCCACAAATTCGGGTTCCCAACACACCCACTCTGATATCGCATGCTCTTGCCCACTCTTATTGCTCCACTACGATCCCCCCCTCCCACAATACCTGATTTCTCCAGTCCTATGCTGCCTTTTCACCCACTCCTGTGTACAGGCCCTGTTGACGGCATTGTTTCGGTGCATGCGTTCGCCTCATAGATGCTAATGGATCAACCTACCAAACTATTCCAACAATGCAACTTCATTTGTGAATTATACGGAAGGGAGATTATATGAGAATGGTATGGGTTGTGAAAGCAAACCCTAACACCGACATTGTCAAAACAAACAATCAGAGTTCAGAGTAAATATCACACATGCCGTGCCATTATTAGATGACAATGATGTTGTGAAGTTAGCAACCGCAAAAGCAGGAGGCTACGCAACCACTTGAGGTTTCTGGGAGGTCCTTCAGTTCATGTTATGCCTCAACTAATTTGGGTTGTGGACCTGTTTATAGTACGCTACCGTACGTCTTTAGGAGAAGCAACGTTTAGAGAGTGCTGACCAAAGCATCTGCTGCAAGCCGTTTGACGAAGTATGAAATATAAAGTATGAGGTGAAGATGGGGTTGGGGACAAACTTGGGAGACGGGGGCATCAGCCAAGAAACCCGGACCTGTGACATCTTTTTGTCAGAGACCAGAAGGCACGGGTGGGAGAGGGGATGGGGGAGGTGGGGGGGTAAGGATGTCATTGAAGGTGTAGGTGGCACGATCTTGCAGTCGTATAGTACAAAAAGGAAGGCAACATCACTAAAAAAAAATGACATCCTATAGGAGTGTGGCGGACCGGTCATGTAAAACAGCAAGTATATGATTGGGCCGTAAAGTACCCTAGGGTATGGGGCTGATTGGGCGCATACCGTATTGGAGACGCCAGGTTGTGCGTGTTACAATCCACCTTTACGTGTGAGACCTCTGCTTGCCAAGAGCGTTAGCGTAGGTTGGTTGGCCTTTCTCCTGTGGGTTGGTAACAGAAAGCAGAAATGCACAGATTTGGCAAACAAGCAAAAAAAGGACATAAGCGCAGGGTGGATGCGGCTGCTGAAGCACGAGCAGGAATTTAGGGACAAGCAAGTATGTCTATAACCACAAACCCAGCAAACGGCGACGAGCTTGTGAAGTTCGTTGGCCGTATGACACCGGGGCAGGCCGGGATGTGCTGCCGTGACACCCAGGCGAGAAAGTGAGCTCATTGGTAGCCAAAGGGGTGCTGCACACCGGTTGCACAGAAACAGTACTCGGCTGTCCACTCATGGTTCGTTGTCGCACCGCACGGGTGTTCTCACTAACCCCCTGATCTGTGACAACCTCATCCAGCATTCCCTCTATTGCCGTTTCAGTTTCCTCCACATCCTCCGCCCCTTCCTTCAACCACTCCTGCATTATCTTGTCGATCCAGGACCAGTCCATAGGACCTAGGATCCTCTCTCCAGAACCCCGCTGCACTCGTGTCGCCTTTCTTGCACGGAGGCGGTACGCCTTGACGAGTGGGTCCATGCAACTGCTCCAATGCAGCACTGCCAAGGCTATGCGTGCCTTCATGCTGCCCCTGAATCGCACCTCTTGGGTGCATACTTGCAAATCAGAGAGTGAAATGACTCATTCAGTGAACTATTCGCGCCACGGATGAATGGTTCCACTTGTGTTGGCCCTAGTCGCGTCTTGAACCACTCGCGAACAGCCAGGTGGGTTGGTGAACCAACCGCATACACGGCACTCTCCTCCCCCCATCCCTCTGAAACACAACGTGGAGGTGTGATCCCCGCTCGTTGGCAGCGTGAATGATCACCTGCAAAGTGATCTGCCGCCAGTCCTAACTCCTCTGACACCTCCTCCTTTGTCATCGCATCCCCTTCGCGCGCCTTCACTGCACAGCGCATCATAACATGCCTGAAATGCACGCTGACGCGTTGTGCAACCGAATATTCCAACCTTCTGCTTCCGCCACTCTCTCTAGCGACGTTGACTTCGTTTCCAGTGCCGCGTGCCCGTTTCTTATTGCTACGTGGGTGCCACCGTCGCGTCTCATTGCAGCCATCGACGGAAACTTTGGGTTGGCTTCCTGCAAGTTGTCACAAATGTAGAAGAATGTGACGATATGTGATAGTGACTTGAGCTGGTGGTGTGGTGATATGGTAATGGAGTACCATACACATTGAGGGGTATGGTGATATGGTAATGGAGTGAGCAAAAACAGTAGGTGGTGTTGCAAATCGGTAATGGCATCATCATAAACGGTGGGTGGTGTGGTGAGGTGGTTGAATAGTGGGCATAAACAGAGGGGGGTGTAGTGATGTGGTAATGGAGTGAGCAAACACAATGGAGGGTGTGGTGAGGGGGTGATAGAGTGAGCAAAAACAATACGGGGGTGTGCTGCTGTGATATTGGAGTGAGCAAACACAGTGGGTGGTGTGATGAATTGGTATTGGAATGATAGAAACCATTGAAGGGTGTGTGGTGATATGGTAATGAAATGAGCATAAACAGTGGGTGGTGTGGGGATGTGGTAATATAGTGAGCAAGAACGGTAGAGGGGTGTGGTGATTTGATAATGGAGTGAGCAAAAACAGTGGGTGGTGTGATGAATTGGAATGGAATGATAAATAACACTGAGAGATGTGGTGATATGGTAATGGAATGATAAACAGTGGGGATACGGTGATGTGGTAATGGAGTGAGCAAAAACAGCAAGGGGGTGTGGTGATGTGGTAATGAAGTGGGTGGTGCATTGGGGATAGTATGAACGAGAAGAGTGGCTATGATGATTAGATAATGTACCTGTCTGAGGGGTCGTTGGTGGTGCTTGATCGATTGGTTCTCCCAAGAAATCCGTATCAGCGCAAGCGCCATTGCAAGCGAGTGCGACCACCAGAGACGCTTGTGATGAGGGACGCAACCCATGCTCAGGGTGGATGTCGTACCCCCACAGCTCCTCCACATCCCGCCAACAAACTTCTACTGACACTGGACCCTCCAGCATCTCAACCGCATCACCACCATCTCCCGTTCCCTCATGCGCAGGCACGCCATGTTCATGTATCAATGAGAGCATAACCGGTATGTCAACCGTTTCATTATCCTCTCCATCCTCTTCGCTCCTATGTGGCTCTGGCCCACGACTAGCCTCGTGCAACCCTTTGGCGCACGTCACCTGCTGCAATTCCAGATGCATCCATTTTGCATCGGCCGGTTTCACATAACGATAAACAATACTGAGCTCACTGCAAACTGTCTCGATGAACCCATCCTTTCCCGTTTTGCCCTCCGCTTTGCTTGGAGCCTTCTTTAGTAACCAAGCCTTCAACTTCTTCAAGGTGTGCATGTGAAGGTCCTCAACAGTCTCAGCGTTATCAATATCCACCACTTTTCTAACAAGGTTCTGCAGCTCGTTTTCAAATCTTTTCACCACCGATCGTCTTTTATGCCACCAGTCAATCTGATGACGGATTCCTCTTTCTACAGCAGCACCTCGAAAGGTGCTACCCTCATCGGTAACAATCCCCTCTATCTCAAACCACTGCTCCTTGAGGAAGTCCATCCCCCTTTTGAATCCTACACTTTCGAGCCTCGGTGCGGAGTCATCATCGACGTCAAGTTTTGTGGTCTCTACATGCAAGATCTTCCTACTTTCAGGATGGAGGAAGGACACAGTACACCACTCTGCCTCTCGCGCTTGTGACCATCTGCCATCAACACTGATGTAACCCACGCCACCCACTCTCTTGGATAAAGTGGTACGCACGTCCCCCATCGAGTTCTGTGCAGCACGAATAATGGCATTCCATAAACCATCTTCACCCTGCAGCAAACGATAGAATGTTCCCTTGCCCGGATTCGGAAGTCCAAGATTGCGACAAACTTCCCACATCACTTGAAATCCTACCCCCGCAAGGGCGAAGGCACCGACGAACCTGGGCATGAGCTTTGACGTCCTTGGCCCGGTCTTTCTCCTATTTGATGTGTGCTCCTTTTTCGGACTTGACCATACTTCCCTGCCGCTTGTGCACGTGTTACAGTGCCAATAAAGTCCGAAACAGGCCCATGCTATTTTCCACGACACGAGTGCCATACTCCCAGAACAGCCCGCTCGTGTGCAACAAATCTGTAGTGATCCCACCGTTTCGAGCAAGTGCTTCGGTTGTAGAAGGCATACCGTGTACTCAGGCACATCCGCGATGCTTGGAGCGGCTGACCACCCACGTGGAACTGGTTTTGGCCTCTTGCTGGTTGTTTTGTCTCGAGTTGTCGTCCTGTTGTTGGTTGGGCCAGCAAAGGTCAGTGACGAAAATGGATGGGTAGGGATGGAGAGTTACTAAACAAAAAAGAGAAGGCGGCAACACCCGAAGGGGAGAAGGATGGCACTTGTTTCTGTAATGCTAGCTGCTCTGTTCCCCACCATATCAGCAAACTATCTCCCCAATGCTTGCCCAAGGTAAACAAGCAAAATTCCGTGGGATGCTCGCAAAGATTTCAGAATCTTGAGTATAATAACACACTCCAACCTTTCATTGTGATCCAACACTGCATCTTCTTGATGTGTTGGTCCCACATGACGGTCACCTCCCTCTGCAATTGTGCACGCCGATCCCACTGTCGGGATGGGGACGCTGTCGAGTTCCACAGCCCCACCATCTGCATCCCCTGCGTGCATATCACACAAGGCGAGTACTCACTGTTTTTTTTCACGAGATTGGTATGGGGTTTCCGCTTCCTCGAGTTTTGTGCATGTTTTCTTGGCTGGATGTATGGTTAAAACGGCTTACTAACCTTTCATCCCCATTCCATATCTCACCTTGTGTGCGCATTTCCTCGAACGCCTTGCCTTTCCGGGGCCCACCCCACCCATTTCCAGCAACGGGGCGTAATCGTCCGCGATGATCCTCCTTGTAGGCAGGGAAGTCGTATACGAGCCCCTTGAGTTCACGATCAGCCTTCCCCATTATCGTGGTCACCGCGTTCACACCATCGTTCGCCCGCGAATCAAACTGACGCCCGTATGACTCCAGATATAGCTCTGCCGTCGCTACCGCATTCGCCCCATTCGCACCTGGATGGGGATTCACGTGGATAAAATGCAGCTTGGTTGCACGATCGTTGTATGAGGATGTACAAACCCCTGGTTATTAGCGCACATGCAACAGCAATCACCACGCGTTCCCACTATCCATAAACATTCACCAGCTTCTTTTGCTGCCCGCATAAGCCGTTTGCATGCAGCCGGAGCATTCATCATAAAGTAGTAGAGAACATCTGCAGTCGTCGCAACGTTCTCGCCTCCCATCAGTGCCGACAACCCGCACCGCTGGAGGCATATGACAGGGCGCATATGCTTTGATATTCCGTGCATAGGCTTGTCATGCTCCTTGCTGAGCTCTTTCGCCGGATGGTCCCCGTCCGGGGCCACATCATTTGTGAGCCTGCGATAGAGGGAGGGCAGGGGGAGGGGGGGGGTTGGGGTGTGCAAAAAAGTCTGTGAATGTGTGCTGGAATGAATGCCTACGGCAGGGAAGCCCAAGGCGGGTAAGCTCAGGCAGGGAAGCACAGGGCAGGGAAGCCCAGGGCAGGGAAGCCCAGGGCAGGGAAGCCCAGGGCGGGTAAGCCCAAGGCGGGTCAGCTCAGGGCAGGGAAGCCCAAGCCAGGGAAGCCCAGGGCGGGTAAGCTCAGGCAGGTGAGCCTAGGCCAGGGAAGCCCAGGGCAGGGAAGCCCAGGGCATGGAAGCTCAGGCCTCAAAAGCCCAGGGCAGGGAAGCCCAAGGGAGGGAAGCCCAGGGCAGAAAAGCCCAGGGCGGGGAAGCTCAGGTAGGGAAGCACAAGGCAGGAAAGCCCAGGGCAGGGAAGCCCAGGGCAGGTAAGCCCAAGGCAGGGAAGCCCAAGGCGGGTCAGCTCAGGGCAGGGAAGCCCAAGCCAGGGAAGCCCAGGGCGGGTAAGCTCAGGCAGGTAAGCCTAGGCCAGGGAAGCCCAGGGCAGGGAAGCCCAGGGCATGGAAGCTCAGGCCTCAAAATGCCCAGGGCAGGGAAGCCCAAGGGAGGGAAGCCCAGGGCAGGGAAGCCCAGGGCATGGAAGCCCAAGGCGGGGAAGCTCAGGTAGGGAAGCACAGGGCAGGAAAACCCAGGGCAGGTAAGCCCAAGGCGGGTCAGCTCAGGGCAGGGAAGCCCAAGCCAGGGAAGCCCAGGGCATGGAAGCCCAAGGCGGGGAAGCCCAGGGCATGGAAGCCCAAGGCGGGGAAGCCCAGGGCGGGTAAGCTCAGGCAGGTAAGCCTAGGCCAGGGAAGCCCAGGGCAGGGAAGCCCAGGGCAGGGAAGCCCAGGGCAGGGAAGCCCAGGGCATGGAAGCTCAGGCCTCGAAATGCCCAGGGCAGGGAAGCCCAAGGGAGGGAAGCCCAGGGCAGGGAAGCCCAGGGCGGGGAAGCTCAGGTAGGGAAGCACAAGGCAGGAAAGCCCAGGGCAGGGAAGCCCAGGGCAGGTAAGCCCAAGGCAGGAAAGCCCAAGGCGGATCAGCTTAGGGCAGGGAAGCCCAAAGGAAAGAAGCCCAGGGCAGGGAAGCCCAGGGCATGGAAGCCCAAGGCGGGGAAGCTCAGGTAGGGAAGCCCAGGGCAGGAAAGCCCAGGGCAGGTAAGCCCAAGGCGGGTCAGCTCAGGGCAGGGAAGCCCAAGCCAGGGAAGCCCAGGGCGGGTAAGCTCAGGCAGGTAAGCCTAGGCCAGGGAAGCCCAGGGCAGGGAAGCCCAGGGCATGGAAGCTCAGGCCTCAAAATGCCCAGGGCAGGGAAGCCCAAAGGAAAGAAGCCCAGGGCAGGGAAGCCCAGGGCATGGAAGCCCAAGGCGGGGAAGCTCAGGTAGGGAATCCCAGGGCAGGAAAGCCCAGGGCAGGTAAGCCCAAGGCGGGTCAGCTCAGGGCAGGGAAGCCCAAGCCAGGGAAGCCCAGGGCGGGGAAGCTCAGGTAGGGAAGCACAAGGCAGGAAAGCCCAGGGCAGGGAAGCCCAGGGCAGGTAAGCCCAAGGCAGGTAAGCCCAAGGCGGGTCAGCTCAGGGCAGGGAAGCCCAAGCCAGGGAAGCCCAGGGCGGGTAAGCTCAGGCAGGTAAGCCTAGGCCAGGGAAGCCCAGGGCAGGGAAGCCCAGGGCATGGAAGCTCAGGCCTCAAAATGCCCAGGGCAGGGAAGCCCAAGGGAGGGAAGCCCAGGGCAGGGAAGCCCAGGGCATGGAAGCCCAAGGCGGGGAAGCTCAGGTAGGGAAGCACAGGGCAGGAAAGCCCAGGGCAGGTAAGCCCAGGGCAGGTAAGCCCAGGGCAGGGAAGCCCAAGGCAGGGGAACCTCAGGGCAGGGGAAGCTCAGGGCAGGGGAAGCTCAGGGCAGGGGAAGCTCAGGGCAGGGGAAGCTCAGGGCAGAGAAGCCCAAGAGGATTGTGCCTTTTGTGAGAGGCGAAAGCGTCACTCTATTCAGATATTAGAGCATGGCGGTGGGAGCGCCGTGGCGCAGTGTGCCTGTACCTCTCAAGAGTGACAAATGTGCCAATGCACTGGCATGGTGTTATGCCATGTGGGGGGGTATGGGACCATTTCCAAATCCGACCGAAGGTGCTTACTTCACTGGCATGGTGCGTGATTGGTGATGCATGCTCCAATACGGACCTGCCTGAGATGTTTTTTTGACGCCGACGAGCCATCGGTGCTGCGGATTTGGGTGGCAACTGTATTTAAACTATGCTGCTCCGTGTACAGGTGGTTCACGCCTTGCTCCTTCCTACAACGACTGCTAAACCAACCTCTTACGCTCCGTTTTCGCGCGTCCTTAGTGATGCGTAATGGCGCTGCATGGAGACCCTAATCAAGAGCAATGCGACCGTGCGGGAGTTTCAGCTGAGAGGCGCACGGGTGCGCTCTGCCATATACTACGTGGGGCGCGCTTTGTTCGATGGGACCTGCGTTTATGGCGCAAGTTGCGCATTAGCTACCCTTTTCAACCCTGGCAAATGCTTATGTACTCTGTCCTCTAAGACCTAGATGTTCTGGGTGCTTGTCTGTTATCGGCGAGTTGAATGCGGCATGATAATAGCGTTTTCTCCGCTTTTTTTATTCAGCAGGTGGGTGTGGGAGTGGTGTGTCGAATTGGTTTGTGTACAAGGCGTACCTAGGGTTGTGTCCGAAGTGTGGTGGTTGGTACGCCAAACTTGTGTTATGTTTTTTACCACAAACTGGTTCTTCACTGTGATTGGGTATCATTCAGCTGCGGACAACAAGCTTTCGCCACCCCCAAAATCGCCAATTTCGCTCATGCGGTACCCCACTTCCAACACCCTTCCTTCCCCTTGGAAGTCTCTCGCCAGGCTCATCCCCCCCCATCAAGATTACTATTGTTGTGCAATTTGCCCAGCATGGGCTCGAAATTTGAGAGGAGAAATGACAGACAGCCTCATGCGAGGTCAACCCAACCCAATCCGCTCATGAGTGCTCCTCAACCCAAGCCTGAATATACTGCTGGTCCGACCCACCAGGGAAGGTATGGATAGCTTTCCCATTCTTGAAACATACAATTGTAGGCGTATAATCCGCTCCATGCTTCGGGCCCAAGTTGGGAAACTCATCCGTGTCCACCGAGTAGAAGTTGACATCTCCACCGTTATCTTGGACGTTGCCCGCGACATTACCGAGGATCTGAGCAAGATCGTCGGATTCCCCGCAACCCGGCTTGAAAAAGCCAACCAAGACTAACTGCCGAACATTCAGAACGAAATGCTGGAAGCTGTCATCCGACACCGGAACCACGAATTTCATCACTGTAATCTGATTTGGATGACGAAATGGCTACGCGCGGATCAAGTGCAGAGCAATGCTGAGACAGAAGAGAAGGCCTTCACTTCGGTCCGTCACAGAAAGCTCGCGCACTTGTACTGCCGCTCATGAGATGAGGCGACAAAAGATAGAACTTGTTGAAGTGAACTGCCTGATGGATTCTAGCCCTACCTACTATGTACCAAGGATACAGTCCAGTACAATCGCCAGAGTGGTTTGATAGGGAAACTGCCACACGTGTACAGGATTCCCTTATCCGCACGTTGCCTGCCCACGAGGCTGTGGGCGTGTCCCACCCGCCCGGCTTCGAAGTTGGGGGGGACACCGAAACGTGCATTTGCACGTGCAAGAGATTAGGGATTGTGATGAGGTGGAGAGGGAGCGCACATGGACGTCGCATTAGTACCAATGCGTCGCGTCGCTCTGGAGGAAGAGGAGGGATTCACATCACACACCCCACAGACGGCCCTCCTTCGGTTCATTCAGCTGCCAGCTGGATCCACGCAAGCAAAACTGACAGCGGGCAAAACAAAAAACTAACTAGGACGGCATGTCAAGACCGTCACACTTTGCACGAACGTGAGGCCCAATCGCGTCGGCGAAACGTCCAGAGAGCCGTCACGACTTTCAAGATGGCTTGATGTGGAAGAAACTCGCGTTACATGAGCCACCACTACTATGTACAAGCTTGTTAAAAGGGTGTAGAAGAGCGAGTTGCACGTGAGTAAATTTGTTTGACAACATTGTGGGTCCGAGTAAATTTTGCAGTGCCACGTTCAATGCACTTCTCCTGGTAAACGTGTTCTGGTATCGGTTCATAAAACAGCGAGGATTCGCTCATGGTGTCAGTGGGGAAGCACTTCATTCAACCATAACCTGCCTTCCGAACCTCATCGAATCTCACACCAAACCTCCAGTTTTCCTCCGAAAGCTTCAAACTACACTCTGACTGATCTGGTAACCGCGTCGGCCAGCCAATCCCCGCTTCGCTTCGATGATCTGAGCGAACCTCCTCATCCATTCTGGCTCGTGCTCGCCCACATGAGTTGGCATGGGGGGGACGGAAGTTGGCGAAATTCTGCCGCTCATCAGCCGCCTTCCCGCTGAAACATTGACGGAGGATATTCCCGTGCCTCTCTGTGGGGGAAAGGAGTTTCCTTGCTTTCTCCTTGGAATGCTCACCTCGCTTCCATTCTTCGCTTCCCTTGCTCCACCACAGTGCTATCTTTTAGGCTGCCGTCTCCTTATCTCCGCTCTGAGCTTTAGGTCCAGCTATGCGACCTGCCGTTGGAGTAGACCCTAGTTCACCGAATGCCTGCACTAACCTTAAGTCGCTCAAAGCCGATTAGCCTCGACTCTGTCTGGCAGTCGATAACCGTAGAAATGGGATTTTAAGTTAATTGTAGTTAGGACGTTGTCAAGATCGTGGCTGATAGGGATTTTAGTTTAAGAAGGTATTGTACGTCAGATACAATGGATCAGATACCAAGTTGAAGGCGGGTACGACGTTAAGATGCTACTTTAGACGGCGTTCCAGTAGGAACGGATCGCAAGCCGTCAAGCGACCTCACTCCGCCAATGCAACGCCGCCGCTGCTTCCGTCGTCGGAGCAAGATTAGTGACGTAGCCGATATCTCATCTGCTATAGCCAGTAAGCAACGTCGAAAAGCAACGTCGTCGCTGCTGTAACTTTTGAAGCTTAGCTGCTTGTTCCGGCCAAAAAAGCAACGATATCGCTGCTTTACGCGTCAAAGCTTCTCTGCTGCTTCCGCCGACAACTGTTCCTTCCGTCGATGCAAGAGCACTAGCGTTTTCGTCGTGGATGCAACGTTTCCGCTATTTTCCCGGTGGAAACGACTTTCCCGCTGTTTCTGCTGAAAACACAACGCTACTGCCGTTTCCGCCGTTTCCAGCTCCGAATCGACGGCGCGGCTGTTTCCGCTGACACCACAAAGTTACTTTCGTTTTCGCCGGGAAAGAAACGGCGCAGAAAGTTCTCCGTGGTCAAAGCGACGTCGCGGTTGTTTCCGTCTTCAATTCTACGGTACTGCCGTTTTCCGCCATCAAAGCGACGGAGCTTCTGTTTCCGCAATCACACGAGGATTGCAGATCGGGCTGACCTTGTAAGTGCGATGAAAATAGATTCTCGGGGGCCGAGCAGATTAGAGGAGAGTAAGCGCCGTCAGCCTGGGTCCCAGTCCACTTTTTCTTGCCTTAGTCGCTCGCGATTCCTACGGTAACTAACCAACAAGTGCTGCTTGTCTCTGTGTCTGTCATGTCATGGAATGCATGCGAGTGTATGCGAGTGACTCCCTCTCATTGCCTGCAATGTAAGCCTCTGCGTGGGTGGACGTGTGATGCTTCAGTGTGCAGCGTCAGTGCGTTTCAGGAGCGTCAAGGCAACGACGCAGTGGTGGTCGCGGCGAGAGCGACGACACAGAGGTGGTCGCGGCGAGAGCGACGACGCAGAGGTGGTCGCGACGAGAGCGACGACGCAGAGGTGGTCGCGACGAGAGCGACGACGCAGTTGTGGTCGCGACGAGAGCGACGACGCAGTGGTGGTCGCGACGAGAGCGACGACTGCAGCAGCATCTACCGAGCAACCTGGAGCACGGGCTCCTGAAGTGAAGGAGAGGCGCAGAAGGGAGAGCAGCAGACGGAGCGTGGTACGTGCCAGGGGGTGCTTGCAGGGGGGCAGTGAAGTGAGTCGTAGGGCGTCGCCGCACAGAGGCAACAGTCGCGTATCTTGCTTTTGCCGCCATCACTCGCCTCCTTCTACTTCTGACCCTCCCGTGTTTCCCCGCTTCTGTGTGCGTGTCTCCCTCCCCATGCGTGTTTGTGTCTCTTGGCTTGCAAGTATGGGCAGCAGCAGCAAGCGAGCAACTTGGAGCAGCATGACTGAAGCAAAGGAGGGGCGCAGAAGGCAGAGCGACGGACAGAGTGTGGTACGTGCCAGGGGGTGCTTGCAGGGGGGAGTGTAGTGAGTCGTAGAGCGTCGCCGCGCAGAGGCACGAGTCGTGTCTCTTGCTTTTTGATTCCGCCGCTCATTTCCTGCTATTTCTAACCCTCCCTTGTTGTTGCCGCTTCTGTGTGCGTGTCTCTCTCTCTCTCCCCATGCGTGTGTGTGTGTGCCTCACGGCCTGCGAGCATGGGCAGCCGGAGCAACGGAGCAACCTGGAGCAACTTGGAGCAGCAGGCGTGAAGGGAAGGCGTGGTGCAGGAGTGGCAGAGCAGCGGACAGAGTGTGGTACGCGCCTGCGGGTGCTTGCAGGGGGGAGTGTAGTGAGTCGTAGAGTGTCGCCGCGCAGAGGCAAGTGTCATGTCTCTTTCTTTTGCCTCCGCCTCTCCTCTCCTGCTGTTTCTAACCCTCACTTGTTGGTGCCGCTTCTGTGTGCGTGTCTCTCTCCCCATGTGTGTGTGTGTGTGCCTCACGGCCTGCGAGCATGGGCAGCCGGGGCAACGGAGCAAGCTGGAGCAACGTGGAGCAGCAGGCGTGAAGGGAAGGCGTGGTGCAGGAGTGGCAGAGCAGCGGACAGAGTGTGGTACGTGCCAGGGAGTGCTTGCAGGGGGGCAATGAAGTTAGTCGTAGGGCGTCGCCGCGCAGAGGCAAGAGTCGTGTCTCTTGCTTTTTTATTCCGCCACTCCCCTCCTGCTATTTCTAACCCTCCCTTGTTGTTGCCGCTTCTGTGTGCGTGTCTCTCTCTCTCCCCATGCGTGTGTGTGTGTGCCTTGCGGCCTGCGAGCATGGGCAGCCGGAGCAACGGAGCAACTTGGAGCAGCAGGCGTGAAGAAAAGGCGTGGCGCAGGAGTGGCAGAGCAGCGGACACAGTGTGGTACGCGCCAGGGGGTGCTTGCTGGGGGGCAGTGAAGTTAGTCGTAGGGCGTCGCCACGCAGAGGCGAGAGTCTTGCTTTCTACCTCCGCAACTCCCCTCCTGCTGCTTCTGATCGTCCCTTGTTGCGCCGCTTCTGTGTGGCTGTCTCTCGTTCAAGACACCTCCCTGCAAGCACCATGCGTTGCTTGTTGTCTCTGTGCCTTCTTCATCTGCCACCTGTCATCTCTTCTGGCACAATCTCACCCTCTCATCCACTCGCTTCTCTCTTTCCTTCCTTGCCATCCTTCGCCCCCTCTCTCCAGCACTCAAGGGGACAGTCGCTGCAGCAACGCAGGGATCACCAGTGGCTGCAGCAACGCAAGGATGATGGCAAGCACTCACCAAGTTGTGGGTGGTTCAGATCAAGTAGCACACCACTTCTCCCTTCACCACTTACCTACTTTTTATGTGCCAGTAAGTCTTGTTTACCATTCTTCCACGGTGCGCGTGTGTCTTTGATGCTGTGTTGCTACTCTGCTCAGATCTCATTCCCCTCCTTTCCCGCCCTCTCCTCTTCTCTGTTCTCCTCTCTTCCCTCACCAGAGCACTAAGTCCTGCTATCCAGTACCAGCAGTATGGGCATCAGCGGTGGCAGCAGCACCAGCAGTGGTGGCAGCAGTGGTTGCAGCAGTGGTGGCAGCATCAAAGGCCACTGCAGTGGGTGCGGCTCCAGCAATGGAAGGGTGAGTACAGCTTACCCCAATGCTTCCAAGGTCTCTCTCTATGCTGGTTGCTTCATACTGTTTGGCTCTCTATGATGTCTTACCTTTTTCCCTGCTTGCTTCCCCTCATGTTGCTCGTCTTTCCCTCTTCTTGTACCCTATCTTGTTTCTATGGTGCCCTTGCATTTCTCCTCTCTCCAATTCCCATTGATGTCCCCTCTCCATGTCCCGTTGGTGTCGGCGTTTGCAGCTTCTAAGTGCCTCCCGAGTCTCTGTCCTCCCCTTTCTTACGTGTCCTACTGTTGTCCCACTGGCAGTTCTTAAGTGGCTCTTCTGTGGCGAGGTAGACAACATGTGGAACCGCATGAAGACCTCAAGATGGGCCGCTGCTGTCCTTTACTGCTCTTGGCTGTGCTTAGGTGTGCTTCGTTGTGATTAGTTGTGTTTGGCTGTGCTTAGGTGTGTTGCGCTGTGCTGTGGTGGTGTGGGCCCGCGGTTGTAGAATAGGAGGGCGGGGGGTGGGGGCTGCCTTGAAGGTGCATGCGTGGGCACAAGCAAACACCCAAGCAGGAGAGAGAGTCCTCTGCAGGTGCTCTTCCATGAGATGATGATCCTGTGCTGTGGCATGCTGGGGACTTGGCAGCTAGAGGCCAAGGCCTTGAGTGAGAGTGAGGTGGAGCTGGAATCAGGGGCATGATGGGTATAAAAGACTGGTGAGGAGGAGCCAGACAAAAACTACAATGCAGGGGCGAAATTGGAAGTGCAGGGCATCCCCAACCATGCACTGCACACAAAGCACACCCGGAGACAGGCAAACCTCTTTCATGAACAGAATGGCAGGGTCTGACAAGAAACATTGTTCTCACTGCGTGTGGGAGATGCGGTACAAGAATTGTCAGGAGTACCAAATGCTGTACAAACACCTAAGCCACATATGTGCTGCTGTGACTGGGGCAGTAACTGCAGTTACGACAGCCAGGACACCTGAAAGAGCAATAACATTGGGTCTGTTTGTGTAGGGGGGCTGGATTTCCTCTTGAATTCTCTCAAAAGCCCAGAAGACCAAAAGACCCCTCCCCCCTTCTCACACCAAAAGTCACTTCTCTGTGTCACTGAAACGAGATGAGCGCTTCAACTTGAGAATCCATACTGCAAATTTCTTCCACTCATCATATCCCTATGAGCTTCTAGGGCTTGGATGACTTGGCCATCGAGAGGAACAACAAAATTCTTGAAACTTTCCGTACGATACACCCTGCAAATGTTTTCCTCTTCATCTGTAATGAGGCGAGGGTGCTAAACCCGGTGAAACAGTTCTACAAAAATTGCGGCTGATTGCCGGGCTCTGTTTCCGTCACATGCGTTGACGTGTTTTCAATTATGTTCAGCCAGTGGGATGCAACCTTCGCACAATGACTGCCCAGCGCACCTTTTTATCCGCGTGGAACTTGCAGTCGCATGCTTAATCCACATTTGCTACAGTGTCTTGCCTTCGTCAAGTTTTCGCGTGAAGTCGCAAGTCCTCTAAGAACACGGCAGGCGAAGATCTTTGCTGGCCACGGTGCGACATGATCAGAGGAAGGAAATAGTCGCACGTGAGGAAAGTCAGCTGACACGAGCATTTGCTTTATTTCCCCCGTGTGGTGGTGTGTGCCCATGTAATTTGTCGCTTCCAGCCAAGGGTCTTCTCTCTGGCCTCCCTCCCCGTTCTGCTCTTCCTCTTCCTTTTCTCACTTTCGTCTCTGATCACCTCACCTGCCCCCTTCGCCTTCTCCCCCCCGTCAATCCCATCCCATCCCAATCATCTCCTCTCGTTGCATTTCGTCTTTTCTCGTCTCGTGTACAGTACACCTGGACACGTTTTCCCATCACTTTCGGCTTACCCCCGGTCCCCCCCCATCCATTGCGGCCACCACCAACCAACTGCAGTCCACAAGGTAGGACTGACCGACTTCAAATAGGTCGGCACTGTCACAATTCTCATCACATGCCTCATTCCCATTCTCATCAACTCCAGTGACCCCCATCAGTCTTCATATCAGTTTCCACGCGGCCATCCTCCCAACCGCAGACGCCTCAACCTCGTTCAATTTCGCGACCAGGCTCTTGAGCTGTTCCTGGCTATGGCGATTTCTAGCGCCAACGCGGCGTGCGCGTGCCTTCCGCCAGCCGCTCAGCTCTCCTGGGCGATCTTATCCGCGGTGCAGCGCTACTCCAAACTCATGCCTCCTGCTCCTACCACCACCGGAGCGCTATTTCCATCAGCAACGTCCGTCGAATGCGCCACCAGTCCGCAGATGCCATCCTTACCCCCGAGGTCCCACAGCACCCCCGCTTCCCACGAGAATGCTGCGCAATGGTTGCTTCTCGGCCTCATGCTTCCGCCGACGCCCCCGCCGACAACTTCGAGCGCGCAAACTACCGGAGGCGGTCTCTCCCCCTCACCACCAATGGCCCAGCTCGACTCGCCGCAGGTCAGCTTCCGTTTCGCCGCGTCTCCAACGCCAATCGCGACGGGTTTTGAGGGAAGCCTGTCTTCCGCGGTGCGCTCGTACGCTCGGGGAATCACCAGCGTCGATCGAATCGACCAAATCGAGCGACTTTCCGGCGGAATTAACGGACTCACCGCGAAGGATCCCCGCCATCAGAGGCGATTGTCGTCTAGCGCCATTCTATACGGACAACCTCCTCGAGCGCCGAAAGCCAACATTGCGGAGCAATTCGCGGGTATCAAGCCGCGTTCCAACATGCGAGGCCGCTCCCACTCCTTTGCGGACCTGACTTCCGCGACGATTCCGGATAATGCGCGACTGTCGCCCGCTTATTCGCCGAACTCGCAACTTGGCATCCCCAGCGTCGCAAGATACGTTGAAGGGAGCAGTAACCATGCAGAGAGGAGCTTCTACTCGTCCCCTGTGGCTGGTATCGTGACTTCAGCTCGGAGCAGCAGTTACACTGAGCCAGCAATGTCGATCGCCAGTGGAAGGAGGCCTCCCTCCCCGAAGTTGGCTGAGCACTTCAAATCATTTGCCGGAAATGGTCGCAGGGGAAGCCGGCGGACGCCTAGCATGGGATGACCGCTCGCAGTGCCTCGTTTCTCAAGCTGCAACCTTTCCCGCTTGCAATTATTTTTGTTTTTGCTCTGCTAGCATGCCTTTTTTTCATGCTGCAAGGAATTATTCCTCATGGCATGATGCGGTTGTATGGATAATGCTGGTGCAGAAACTGGCTGTAGTTCATCATCCATATTTGTTACATTTGTTGTATTTGATAGGGATCATTATTGAATGATTAAATGGATGTGTAAAACATACCAGTAGTGCTCTTGTCAATGCAGTACATGCTGTGAACAGTATTGCAACTTTCAAAAATTCCATATGGGTATGACTCTAGATGGATTTAGCAGCGTACCAAAAGCGATAGCTTTACCCTACAATGGATTTGAGCTTTGAAACGACAACCCCTGGACGTGCACCCACACACAATTGGTGTGGACTTTGCTAGATACTGAAAAAAAATTCACAGGTTAACATCCACATAGCTGAACAAATAAGTCGCAGAACCTCACGGTCGCGAGCTTACAAGTACTTATCAATGGTGGCTGTGAGGGTGGACTTAGGAACAGCACCAATCACAGTGTCGACCTTCTTCCCCTTTTTGAAGATCATCACAGTGGGAATGCTGCGGATTCCGTACTCTGTGGCCACGTTGGGGCTCTCGTCGGTGTTCAGCTTGTAGCACTTCAGCTTTCCGTTATACTCCTTCGCGAGCTCATCAATGAGAGGAGCAATCATTCTGCAAGGGCCGCACCATGGAGCCCAGAAGTCGATCAGGACTGGGACATTGCTCTCCAGAACGAGGTTCTTGAACGTCGCATCGGTCACGGGGCCCGCGACTGCAGACGAAGAAAAAAGAACAAAATTAGCCAATCGACACGGGGGCATCAACGAGCCGTACAAATGCCCTTAAAATTAATTAACGAACCTTCGGTGCCGGTGGCTTCGCACACAACACGGGAAGAGCGCTTAGAGGACACACGTTGCGAGAGGGATGCCTTCACAGACTGGCGGAGTGAGGTCGCCTTCAGGCCATTGAAGGAGACAATGCTGGTCCTGCCAGACACCTCAACTGACGCGACTGCGGGAGCGCAAATCGCGCCAGAAATGGCAGACTGAGCAATGGCAGCCATTACGCCAGCAATCTGATGTGCGTAAAGTCTACTCTGCAATGCCTGCCTGGAAGTCTGAGCTCTCAGATCTAGCAGAAAGTGGTTTCCTGGGCTCCCAAGAAACCGAGACTTCTGGAACGAGTCAGTAAAGGAAGGGGAGGGAGTCGAGGCACAGAAGGGAGGGTGAGGCAACACTGACCAGTCACGTGTTGGGGGCATGGAGGGGGACGCGAAGCTACTTTGAGTAGATGCCCTCCACGTATGCATGATCTTGTGGCTAACTTTTCCACGGCGGGTTTGGGAGAAGAAGACAGCAGGCTCGATCGCTGGCCACGCAGGCTAGCGATAATGTAGCTCTGCCAGGTAGATTCGGTAAAGTGATGGTTTGAGATATCCGAACCAATTTGCAGTAACCATCCCCCAACCTCCTTCCCCAGAGCAAGCTGGTTCGTAATTGTTGTGTATGTTGTCGCCGTGCTGTGTTTGGCGAACATTTCAACGCTGTTACCCTGAAAACGAATTCACGACTTTCGCGATGGTCGTGAGTGCTGATGAAGCTTGCTGCCCACGGGACTGCCATGACACAACAGGCGTAGGCACAATTTGTGATTAACCGATACAGCCATCCTAGGTCACATTTTCCAGGCACAGTTGCGCACCTCATTTTGCCCAGCCACTCACTACACATGGCGCTCACTGCCTCCACCGTATCATGGGCGGCTGTGGTTCCGACTGCTGCTGTTTCTATCGCTCGGTCTCATCGATTAAGCGCTAGTCCCTTCATGGGAGTGGTAAAAAAAACCAAAGTTTCCGTCAGAAGTCAGTCCAAGCTGGTCGCTGTCAGGGCTTCTGCCTCAACTGACACTTCCGATGCAGACACAGGAGCGACAGCCAACTTGAAGGAATTTCTAGGCGATTTGAAGAACGTCGGCAGGGCAAGTGTCCAGTGACGGTGCGTGTGTTTGTTCGTACACATTTGCCACTTTGTCCTTCGCTAATATAAGTACATCCCCACATAACACTGCAGGTCCGGCTGATTGTTAACACTGGATTAGGCGTTCTCGAATCAGTCACAACCCTAGATGGACTTTTTTATCACACTCTTCCTGGCAAAGGCGAGTACGCCAATGTCATCAAGTCAGAGGAGAATGTGGACTTCCACCTGCTGTTGAGCTCGGTTTCTGGTGCGAAGCTGATCACTGGAAAGTCCATGCGCGGTGACTTTCCCACCTACACTGTTCGGTTCTTGAACGCGGAGAAAGAAGTCGGAGCCAGTATCTTCGTCATGTGGAAACCAGGTGCTGATCTCTTCTCCTTCATACTTCTCCTCCCGTTCCCAGTTGCTCACTCGTTCTTACTTATTCCTGAGCACTCACATTGACTTACATTGTACGTGCAGGCACCATGGGTGATTACGACGAAGGCCAGGCTGATGCCTATCAGTCCCTAGTCAACAAATACGGTGAGGAGGTATCTTTCGCCTCAACGGAATATGATATTTAAGTTATGAATGCGACGAATGTGGTGGAGCATTCGGTTGATGTTCCTTCTCACAGAGCTTTTAGGAAGTGCTTACCGTAATAAGCTATCACATTTCTCTTTCTGGCGGGAGTCAGGACATTTTGTTCTTTCTCGAACACTCTACCCGAGTTACGCAGCCCAATTACAGTACCATGGGCTCCAGGAAACACTACCTACAACGAAATGTGAAATTCCCAGTTCTGGCTGGTACTGACTTGCATTTAGTTTTCTAATAAACTTTAATCTTAGAAGGAGCAGGATACACCCGTGCATCTACGTGTACACGACCTTGCGTAAAACTGTCCGTTACTACTCTAATAAACTTTAATCTTAGAAGGAGCAGGATACACCCGTGCATCTACGTGTACACGACCTTGCGTAAAACTGTCCGTTACTATGGGAGGCTTTCACCTGGTGCTCAGGGTGTCCCGTTACAGACAAAACCAGCCTGGTGTGTGTTCTGTAAGTAGCGCGCACAGCAGGGTCAAGCTGCAGAGCAGGGTCAAGCTCCCTCCCTTCCCTACTGCAAATGTGTAACGAAAAACAGCCGCTCTAGCCCTGCCTCCCTCACAACAAGCACTTTCCCCATCCTGGCAGCCTCCTTCCCTCCCTCTCTCATCCTCACTCGCCTGTCACTTGCAGGCTTGGTCTCTCTTGGACTGGAATTTGGGAGTCATTGCGGTACCTCTCCTCCCCCCCCCCCCCCCCCCCACCTCCCAGCTGCTGCAGAGCCAAGACGCGGTCCCCGCATTCTCCCCCACCCTTCCTTCTTTTCCCCAGCTTACTGCATCTGAGGGCGTATCCCTGGGTGGTGGCAGGGCCACTGTAGAATACAGTGAAATTTGGCGCGCGAATACAGGTGCGTGATTGGGCAATGTCCCAAAAATGTCACTTCAATGCCACCAAATACGAGTCGCGCGCGCCTCGGTAAAAATGTTGGTGGCATGCGGTTTTCCCGCATGCCACCAACTCTGCCATCTACAGTGGCCGTGCCACCACCCAGGGATACGCCCTGAGTCAGGTTGTTCAAGGTCAACTCTCAACAGCAGGGCCAAGCAGTCTCAGTAGCAGCTCGAATCATACATCAGATGCAGTTGGGTCACTCATTTGTGAAAAAAAAAAAGCATGCTCCGCCTTATCTGTTGTCTCCGCTAATCAACTCATTTTGAGTTATATTCGAGCGTACTTCAGCAGCCGGCCATATTCCGGATTCTCGTGGATTAGCAGCCGGCCATATTCCAGAATCTCGTGGATTAGCACGAAATCTTTCTCACGTCTTGATCAACACAATGAGCCTGGTATTTCCGAATTCAGGGAAAGCAGCCGCTATGTCTGTCGTTCTACTAGTCCTGTCGCTATTGATGTCAGCCTCCATGACGTCGGCTGCCCTCCCGCGCAAGCTTCAGACGACTGTGATTTACGTAGCTCCTTCGCAGAGTAAGCACCCATAACATCTGAAACTGCTACCTCTCGAAACGCTTCCCCACTGTCACATTGCAAAATCCCATCACTGTCACTTCACACGTCCCCCTCAGAGCGTCCCATTGCACCATCCCGTCTCATCACGGCATCCCATCAGCGTCCCGTTGCGGTCACATTCTAGCACAATGTGCTCCAACATTTCGTCGCCAGTCGAGTCGTCTGCACGCATTTCCACATCCCGATATCACACTGTGCCGTCTTCAGACCTGTTTGGAGTTCCACCGTCCAGCTGTAGTCCCGAGGTGTTATCGAAACGGCGGTGCTCGTCGAAGGTGGACTGAACCACCGCTCAGCCGCATTTCTCCTAAAGTTCTCCTTCATTGCGTCCCCGCGATAATGGAGCTGAAGGCAGCCGTCGGATCGTTCATCAATCTCAATGCCGTGAAGCGTGTGAAGTCAGCTTCCCAATCTCCTCGTCCCACCTACCCCCCCACACCCCCCTTCCTCCTTTCCCTTTCCCCCCTTCCCCCTCCGCGCCCCTCCGCCCGTCCCTCCCCACCAAGTGCCGGCGATGATGGAGCTGAAGGCAGCACTGACGCCGTACATCAACCTCACGTCGTGAGACGTGTGAAGGCAGCTCCCCAAACCTCTCCTCCCAACACCCCCCCCCACCCCGCTCCCTCCACGCGTCCCTCCCCCTCAGTGCCGGCGATGATGGAGCTGAAAGCAGCACTGACGCCGTACGTTAACTTCACGTCGTGAGACGTGTGAAGGCAGCTCCCCAATCCTCTCCTCCCACCCCACCTCCCCCACACCACCCCGCTTCCTCCACGTGTCCCTCCCCCGTCAGTGCCGGCGATGATGGAGCTGAAGGCGGCACTGACGCCGTACATCAACCTCACGTCGTGGACGGCGACGAACCCGTGCTCGTCGTGGTGGCTCATCACGTGCTGGACCAACGGGCTCGTGCGCCGCATGGACATCAGCTCCAAGGCCATCCAGGGCAACCTGCCCTCCGTCATCGGCAACCTCACCAGCCTCGATGAGTTGTGAGTCTCCATGCCTGCCTGTCTCCCTGCCTCCCTGCCTGCCTGCCTCCCTGCCTGCCTGCCTGCCCGCCCGCCCGCCCGCCTGCGTGCCTGCCTGCCTCCAGAGTCCTTCCCTACGCTCTCTCCTCTCGTGCGCCGCATGGACATCAGCTCCAAGGCCATCCAGGGCAACCTGCCCTCCGTCCTCGGCAACCTCACCAGCCTCGATGAGTTGTCCGTGACAGTAGGGGCACGGAAAGGCGAGAGGCTGGGGGATGGGGGGATGGGAGACGGAGACGCAGTGGTGTGTTGAGAGTGAGGTGGAATTTTGGGGATAAGATGAGGATGGGCAAGGTGTGGAAGAGGGGTAAGTATGACAAAATACAGTTTCCTGACCTTGGATATGCACATCTACGCCTATTACCTCTTGCCTCACTCGCTTCTTTCCCTTCATTTCCCCCACTCCCTCTTCTATTTTTGCCAATGCCAGTTTTGCCACCACGAATTGGTTTAAGGGATCCCTCCCCGACTCGTTCAGTCGACTCACAGCCATCAGGAACCTGTCAGTCCGCACATACCCTTCCCATGTACTTCCCAAGTATTACATACCCTTCCCATGTACTTCCCAAGTATTACATACCCTTCCCATGTACTTCCCAAGTACTACATACCCTTCCCATGTACTTCCCAAGTACTACATACCCTTCCCATGTACTTCCCAAGTACTACATACCCTTCCCATGTACTTCCCAAGTACTACATACCCTTCCCATGTACTTCCCAAGTACTACATACCCTTCTCATGTACTTCCCAAGTACTACATACCCTTCCCATGTACTTCCCAAGTACTACATACCCTTCCCATGTACTTCCCAAGTATTACATACCCTTCCCATGTACTTCCCAAGTATTACATACCCTTCCCATGTACTTCCCAAGTATTACATACCCTTCCCATGTACTTCCCAAGTACTACATACCCTTCCCATGTACTTCCCAGGTACTACATACCCTTCCCATGTACTTCCCAAGTACTACATACCCTTCTCATGTACTTCCCAAGTACTACATACCCTTCCCATGTACTTCCCAAGTACTACATACCCTTCCCATGTACTTCCCAAGTACTACATACCCTTCCCATGTACTTCCCAAGTACTACATACCCTTCCCATGTACTTCCCAAGTACTACATACCCTTCCCATGTACTTCCCAAGTACTACATACCCTTCCCATGTACTTCCCAAGTACTACATACCCTTCCCATGTACTTCCCAAGTACTACATACCCTTCCCATGTACTCTTCAAGTACTACATACCTTCCCATCCCATGTAGTCTTCAAGTACTACATACCTTCCCATCCCATGTACTCCCGTGACAACACACATGCACCTATCTTACCTTCCCTATGCACCTACATTGTCCAGCCGTTGTCCCATCCCCGCGTCTGTGCGTTTTCTCGTTCGTTCCGTGGCTCACTGTCCTGCTCGGTTCATCTCCACGTTGCAGGCAGCAGTTCAAAAACTAATTTGAGAGACCCATTTTCGATTCATGGAGCAACATGCGCGATAAAAGCAGTGTTTTGAGACATCTCAAAACACTACTTTTATCGCGTTGCAGGCAGCTGTTTGAGAACTATTTTGAGACACCCATTTTCGATTCATAGGTCAACATGCCCACATCTCACCGTCCCCTCTCACTCACAACACCCCTCCCGCACCCTTCCCCTCTTCCCCCTTCTCTCCTTCCACCTGCAGGCAGCTGTTCAAGAACTACTTTGAGGGTCCCATCCCCAGTTCATGGGGCAACATGAAGAACCTCGTGCAGCTGTGAGCCACGCTTTTGAACGTCACATCATGCTGTCATGTAACACGGTGGTCGATTCCATGCAATCTCATGCCATGCGATGTGGACTACCATACCTGTCCATGTCCATATCATACCACGCGTTCCACTAGCACACAATGCCGCGACGTGCCATGCCGCAACGTGCCATGCCGCAATGTGCCATGCCGCAACGTGCCATGTCGCGACGTGCCATGCCGTGGCATGCCAACCCATCCATGCTGTAACAAAACATCTTGTGGCATGGCATGTGAGGACCCTTCAGCAATGCTATACCTCAACATTCACTATGACAACCTCTGCCCTCGCCTCCTTCCTATCATCCACCCTCTCTCTCAACAAGCCAACCTCCCGCCTCTGCTTCCTCCTTTCTCCTGCCCTGTGCTGCTCTGCCCTCATCTGTACCTGCCGCAGGCACCTCAACCTCAACTACTTTTCCGGCGGGCTGCCCGACACCTTCTCGCAGCTGACCAACATGCAAAAATTGTGCGTTCCTAGCATGCCTGAACCCCATCCAAGTTGTGACTTTATGACCAGGCTGAAAGGTCAATGCACAGCGTGTTTTGAGTCGGCTCAAAACACAAAAGGTCAATGCACAGCGCATTTGGCCGTGGCGAGACTGGCAAGCTTCATCCTTCATCTGGTTCTCGGCTTTTGTTTGTTTGATGAGTCAAACCGCTGGGTCAAGGGCGCTTCAGGTTGAAAGTGTCTGCTTTGATGCCCTCGCCATGCTTTGATCCGCTCATAAGTCCCGTGCGTAGCTTGGTCATATCTGCTGTGTCATCTTCTCCTCCGACTACTCTTCCTTTCCCTTGCATGGGTTCCTTGGTCTTGTCTTGTTTCTCTCCCATTCGCCTGCAACAGCTATGTGTCCAGCAACTTGCTCAACTCCTCCTTCCCCACCGTCGTGTGCACCATGAAGAACCTGCGGGAGCTGTAAGTATGGCCTACAGAACCTGTATTTTTTAGGCGCCTCAAAGATCGTCTCATGACCCACAGTCGTCTCGTCTGCACCATGAAGAATATGAGGGAGATGTAAGTATGGACACTAAAGTTCAACATGCGCCATGCGACACTAAGTGCCGAGATCTCCTAGTGAGACACTACTACCGTTGGCCGTGTCTGTCTGCTGTGGCCCACTGCTAGTCAGCGACACATATGACATGGTTATCACCAGCATGTGTAACAATACCCCTGGGTTACTTCTCACTGCCCCAACGCCTAACCTCTTTTGCGTTTCCATCTTCTCCTCCCTGCGCACCTTGTCCTTTACCTCTCCCCGCTTGTCCCACCAGTCGCCTCAGCTACAACCACTTCACTGGCTCCATGCCCGCCTGCCCCAGCCAGCCCAATACCTTTCCTCTTCTGCATTTGTCCCCTCGTCATCCTCCCTTCACCCCTTCCTTCCCTTCACCCCTCCCTTCCCTTCCCCGCCTTGCCACACCAGTCGCCTCAGCTACAACCACTTCACTGGCTCCGTGCCCTCCTGCCTCAGCCAGCTCTCCTACCTCTACTATCTGTAAGCTCCGTTCAAATCCCCTTGTATCTTATCGTGTCCCTCCCCATCGCTCTTCAAGGCACCACGAGGTACCTCCATTCCATCGGCGATCTTTAATCTCCATTTGGCACTATTTCATTCCACTGTTCACTCCCTCTCCAAACATAATACACTACTATTCTTGGAACTCTATCCATACATCTTTGCACTGTTGGAGCAATGAATGCATGCATCTTCTCTCTCCCTTCCCCTCCCTCTCACACCATCAGATACATCGACACCAATAAGCTCACCGGCACTCTCCCTGCCACCATCGGCGACCTTCCTGCCCTGCAGAACTTGTGAGCAGAACTTGTGAGCAGAACTTGTGAGCAGAACTTGTGAGCAGAACTTGTGAGCAGAACTTGTGAGCAGAACTTGTGAGCAGAACTTGTGAGCAGAACTTGTGAGCAGAACTTGTGAGCCCTCCCTATTGCCGTCCTGCTCATGCCAACACTCCACCACTCCCTTGGCTTTTGTCCTTGCTGCTAATGCTCACCACAGCCCACTCCTCTCACTTCGCCCTATCTCCGCCTGCTCTCTGCTCCCAGGTTCATCAATCAGAACAGCCTCAACGGCCCTCTGCCTCCAACCATCACCAAGCTCACCAACCTGCGCATCCTGTAAGCTACAGTCTAGTTAACAGCTCTTCTTCTGAACCGCTTCAATCTCATCCACTCACTCATACCCCGTTCGCGACACCAGACCTGACCCTCCCCATGCGTAAACGTCGTGCATCCCCGCCTCGCCCCCCACCACCCCCACACACCCGTTCCCCCTTCCATCCCATCTCTTCCCGTGCCCAGCATTACCTTCTGCTTTCCCCACCTCTCCTCCTCCTTCCTCCCTATCTACTCTCTTCCCCTGTCCCTCCAACCTTCGTCTCCCTCCTGCAAACCTGTTCTCCCTCCTCTTCCTCCCAACCATCAGCTTCATGAGCAGCAACCCCTACCTGGATGGCCCTCTGCCATCAGACCTGGGCAACATGGTCAGCCTCACGGACTTGTGAGTGCCCTGCCGTGCAATGCAGTGCCTGGTTGGTTGGTTCTTGAGAATTCTCAACATGCACATGCAGACCTGGGCAACATGGTCAGCCTCACGGACTTGTGAGTGCCCTGCCGTGCAATGCAGTGCCTGGTTGGTTGGTTCTTGAGAATTCTCAACATGCACATGCAGACCTGGGCAACATGGTCAGCCTCACGGACTTGTGAGTGCCCTGCCGTGCAATGCAGTGCCTGGTTGGTTGGTTCTTGAGAATTCTCAACATGCACATGCAGACCTGGGCAACATGGTCAGCCTCACGGGCTTGTGAGTGCCCACTGATCCCAATGCTAACAGATTACGCACATGCAGATCTATTTTCCCCACTTCATCTATCTTGCCTTCTGTGCCCTTGACCTCTTGTTTCTTCCCCTACCTTTCATCATCCCGCCGCACTTCGTCCTCTCCTGAAAGAAAACATGCTGTTGCATACCAAAGCTTTCACGATATCATTTGGCCTCTCCTCCTCTCTCCCCTTCCCTCCTCCCTGTGCCCCCCTCCCTCTCCTTCCCCCCACTCTTCCCTCCTTCGTTCCACTGCGGCAGCGTGATGGAGTTTGCAGCCTTCAATGGCACCATGCCTGATTCCATCACCAAGCTCACTCGCCTCTCCCGCATGTCAGTTCCCTGCCTCTACCTGCCTTGACAAGCCTCCGTCTCGCTCCCACTGCTTCCTCTCCATACCTTCTGCTTGCCGCCCCTGCTCGTTCACCTGCTGTTCGCCACCACCGTTGCATCGCTTCTATCAAAGCAATAATCATGCCGTAGTTCACCCTTCTCTTGTTCAACCTCACCCTTCTCTTGTTCAACCTCACCCTTCTCTTGTTCAACCTCACCCTTCTCTTGTTCAACCTCACCCTTCTCTCATCTCCTCATCCACCCAGTCTGCTTGACTAATACCAGTTCACTCAGGGTTCATCGTCCCACTTTCCCCACTTCCACCACCCCCTTTTCCCAATCCCTGTCTCCCGTTCCCTGTTCAGCAACTCTTGATTTCCCTCAGACCACCTTGCTGCCTCTCTTTCTTTTGCTTACACTTCCCGATAGTCTGCTGGACCACTTTCAAGTCACAGGCTGCATCCCATCCCACCCTCTCCTTTGCCTTCACCCTCCCCGTTTTCCATCCCCCCTCTTTCCTCACGCCAGTCTGATGGACAACTGTCGCTTCACGGGCTCCATCCCACAGGGCATCAGCAACCTCAAGGCCGCTCACTGTGCTGTAAGCCCTTGCTGCAATGGGTGTTTGCTCAGGTGCATGACCCAGCTAATGCTGTGGTACTCGTTCCGGGTGGGTGGTTTTCTGTGCTGTGAGTCAATCGACTTCTTACATGTCTCAATGCCCACCTGTCCAACCCCCACGCCCTTGCATTCTGTTTGCTTCATTCCTGCTCTCGACCCTCAAACCACTTGGAACTCACATACTGTCACTTCACATACTGTCACTTCACATGCCACGACATCTTCTCGTTACCAGGCCTAGTTCATTCGCTCATGCTTGCATGCCACATGTCCCTCTCGTCTTGTTTCCATCTCCACCTCTCTGCAAACCTCTACCGCCATGAATGAACCCCAACCTCAACCGCCAGGTATCTGGAGGGCAACCGCTTCCGTGGCAGCTTCCCCGCTGGCCTTCTCACTCTGCCCAAACTCAACCTGCTGTAAGCCCTCCCTCCCTCACTCATTCTCGTGGCGGAAGAACACGCACGCTTTTATTCAATCTGCAGCACGACACGGCATGCTCTTCTTGCCATAAGTACCTTCCGTCCTTCCCCCTACAAGCTCCTGCTCTGCTTTCCTGTTCATTTTCCTAACCTTCTCCCACGTCTTCCCATGCCCTTCGTAAATTTACCCCCCTTCCACCCACTATTTCCCCCATCCCCTGTCGACTTTTCAAACCCCACCACAGAAACTTGCACGACAACCAGTTTTCAGGCCCTCTCCCGTCCGGCTTCTTCAACGTCACGATAGTAACCGCGGGGCAGATCAACATTCACCACAGCTACTTCAAACCCCCTTCCCTCCTTTGTTTCCCCCCATTCCCTGCCCACCCTGTAAACCCCACCACAGCAACCTACACGACAACCAGTTCTCGGGCCCACTCCCTTCAGGCTTCTTCAACGCCACCATAGTGACCACGGGGCAGATCAACATTCACCACAACTACTTCAACGGCCCTGCCACCGTCGTCGCCGGCAGCTCTCCCTTCTGCCCCAAGGACCAGACCCGCAACGGCATCTTCTACCAGTCGTCCCTCGCATACAACTGCATCAAGTATCCCGCCACCAGTGCATGCGCGCTCGTGCCCAGGGTCGAGACCCAACTTTCGCTCACCACTTGCCAGGCGTTCTGTGGCGCTGACGTGGCGCCGTGTGGTGGGCACGGCACGTGCTGGTTTGGGGTTGGGCGGAGTGTGTCGTGTGATTGTGACCCGGGGTATGTGCCCACCTTGGATGGGCTGTCCTGTGTTGCGGACACCTCTGGCGTGGTGGTCTGATTGGGGTTGTGTGATTCGCTTGTTAAGGTTTTTGAGGCGCCTCAGAAGTCACAGCGGGTCGTGCCGACCCTGGATGGGCTGTCCTGTGTGACCACTGCAGAGTTGTGTGATTTGCCCGTTGAGGTTTTTGATGCGTTGAGGTTTTTGATGCGTGTGATTGTCACCCGGGCCGGGGTATGTGCCCACCTTGGATGGGTCTGCTGTGTGGCTGACACTGCTGGCTCAGTGGTGTGAGTTAAGAGACTACTTTTTAGGCACCTCTAAACCGGGTAGATGCGCCGACCTTGAATGACCTTTGTGGCGGGTAGTACTGGCACGGTGTGCTGGCGTGCTTTGTGCGTTGACTGTAGGGACAATGGAGGCAGAGGGTGAAGTGCTAACACGCTCTCTGGTCGAGGCTGGCTAGAGAAGCAAGGCTCGCTTGCTCCTCTCAGTCGAGACTGAAACCTTTCCCTTAGGTAATAAGCCATACTAAACAATGCCTATGGCCCTCCAACTCCATGTCTGGGGCGAGCGTATCTGGGGACGCCCAAGGGTCATTGGTATGGTATCGGGTGACTCTGAGTAAAGGGTAGGGTGTGCCTTCTGTCTTGAGATGTATCAATACATTTGTGGAAAGCCTCTAAGATATCATTGCGGCCACCACCTGATGTTTGCCGCATCTCATTTTTGAGTGCCATACTACACTGAAGTTCCCGTCGATTAATAGAACGCTATGACTTGTGGGGCTGTGCGTATGGAATCGAAGCACGTTTGCTGACCCGTGGAAGCCAGATTTACGTGTTTGGCGCCCACGTGCACCAATGACGTGCGTTCATTCGTTGCAAGTCCTGTAATTCGATATAGCAAGAACGGCTCGCCGCGCCGCCGGCACGCAATGGAGGCTCGAAGCGAAGCGACTCGCTTCAATTAGCAGGCTTTGCCATGCCAATTCCGTCAACCCAACAACAACACAAGGTACAAGCACAGTCACCTGTCAAGAGGCTACAGTGCGTGTAAGCCCCAGCATGTGCTGGCAATGCACTTATCGTGCGTACCACCCTCCCACCCACCGTCACTCGACTTGGAACAAGAAATGACTAAAATGTATACCTCCTACCGCGCATCATTCCACGACACACGCCACAATGGCCGAACGCAGACAATCGATTTACGTTCTCTTAATAGTCTTCAGCCTCATCAATGTCGCCGCTAGAGCAGAAATAACCCTCATGTCAACTGCTGGCCCGAAGTGCGTAAATGCTTTTCCGAAAAGGTCACTGTGCAAGTTCGTGGACAGCCTGACTTCGCGTGTCATCCCCACTCTCGATGGCACCAAGCGGCTCACTATCGGCGTATACCAAATATACCAGGTAAGTCGCGCGTCAACCATCTGAAATCGACTATTTGAGGCGGCGCCGGTTGTTCAATGTTCTCGTGACGGACGCGCGTCGTCGCTACGTCGTAGAAATTCCAGCGTGAATCTGACGCGAACGCACGATGCGCCCCTTCGGCTCACTGTGATGTCTCTCTTCGACGCTGTCGTGCGCATCGCAGAAATTCCATCGCGATCTGCCGGCGACGAAGCAGTACGCGTACGGCACGAGTCAGAAGACGGCGTCGTACCCCGGCCCCACCATTGTGGCCAAGGTGGGCATCGACACGACGGTCACGTGGGAGAACCATCTGCTCGACAACACGCACATGTTCACTGTCGATCGCACGGTCATGATGGGCATCAAACTCCCAAAGAAAGGCATTCCCATCGGTAAGAGCGCGCTTCGTAACACATTTCCCATTGTACTCGGGGCTCCCGAACGGTACCCTGGTCGGCAACACGCACATTCTGATGTACACCGTCGATCGCACAATCAAGATAGGCATATGATGTTCATATATGAACATCATAATGATGTACGAGACACTCAAAGTCATAAGCACTCGTACTATGTACGTACAGTTTGATCATCAAACTCAAAATGACACTCAAACTCCCCAAGAAGGGCATGCTCATCGGTAAGTGCAATATCTCATGATGACTGAAAGGGTTCTCCTTCCGTTAGCTTCGATTCGCCTCAAAGACAACACGCATATGATGTTCACCGTCCCACCTCTTGAGTCATGGGGTACAAGTTTCCCAATAAAGGCATCCGGATCTGTAGTAAGCGCATTTGTCACCACAACCATCTGCTCAACAACACGCACATGTTCACTGAACAACCCCACGCTCATCATGGGTTAAAAGTTTCCGAAGCGCGGCATTCCCATAGGCAAAAACGCTCCCATGGCACTTCATTTCTGCAAATCCGACCGTCCTCTCCAGCAAGCATTACACTCACTTTCACGCCACACGTATAATCCCCTTTTATGGCAGTCGTGCATCGCCACGGCGGCTCTCAGCAGAGCTACTACGACGGCCACCCTCTCGCGTGGTTCACGCAGTACGGCGAGAAAGGCCCCACCTATTATTCCAAGAACTACAAGTACGTGAACGACGAGGCGTCGACGGTGTGGTACCACGACCACATGGCGGGCATGACGCGGCTGAACGTGGCGGCGGGCATGGCGGGGCTGTTCATCATCACGGACCCAAAGGTCGAGTCCAAGTACACCTGGCTGCCTCCTCCCAGCCGTACGATCCCGCTCGCCATCGCAGATCGGCTGTTTTCCGCCAACGGGTCGATCAATTATCCGAACGTGGGCATTGTGCCGAAGGTGCATCCCAACTGGATTCCCGAGTACCTCGGCAACACCAACATGGTCAACGGCGTGGTGAGTTTAACGAGAGTTGAGTGCTCGTACTACTCGCATAGCCTGGAACGTAGTAACCAGAGCTTTCTGACATGACGAATATTTGCTGCTGCCTCGTGGTGTTCAACGCTGTCCGCGCGTTGCGCAGGTCTGGCCGTACCTCAAGATTCGCCCGGCGCTTTACCGTTTCAAGGTGCTGGGCGCGTCGAACGCGCGCTTCTACGATCTGAAATTCGTTTGCGCGCAGCGCGGCGATTATCCCAACTTCGTACCCCCTCTCACGGGCAAGGTCCTTCAGATGATCGAGGTAAGTATCAATTCTTCCAACTTTCCGAAGATAAATTGGTACATTTTTTCGTTCAACAACCCGTAACCACAATCAATTCGTTTCCCATGTTGGAAGGGCGAATTTCGCTGTCGCTAATGATTGTTTTTTTGTTCGTCCTTCCTCGTAGATCGCTAGCGACGGTGGTTACCAAGAGAAGCCCGTGTACATGAATTCGCTGCTCCTCACCCCTGGTGCGCGCCATGATATTCTCGTGGATTTCTCCAACCTCCCGTCGTCTTGCAAAGACGTCATCCTCCAAAATACCGCGCGTGCGCCTTACCCGGGCGGTATTGCCGCTGACCGCGACACCGGACTTGTCATGCGCATCGTGATCACCAACCGTGGACGTTTCCCCGCCCCTAAAATCCCCAACCGAATTTCGGTAAGTGAATTCGACAAGCCGGGGTGCCTGTTTTCTAGCCTGTCCCCCTCCTTTGTTTTTAGCTCCTACGAACCGCCTTTTCTCTCCCTGTTTAGTAACTTCTCCATTTCTCCCCTTGATATTCCTGTGCAGTACGTTCCTAGGATCAACTTCAGGGACGTTCAGAGGGTGCGATGGCACCGCCTGGTGGAAGAAATGGATCCAAAAACGAACCTCCCCATCCGCGTCACCATCGACAACTTAGGGTTTATGGACCCTGTCAGGGACTACCCGAAGCAAGGCACGAACGAGATCTGGCACATCATCAACCTCTCGGCCGACGCGCATCCGTTCCACATCCATTTGATTGACCACCGTCCGATCGCCCGCCGCGCGTTTGACGTGGCGGATTTCCAGGCTGGCAGGTGCTCGTTCCGCAAATCGGATAAGAAGCCCGCGTGCTGGACGAGCGGAAGAATCCCCGTTGATCCGATCGAGAGGGGGTGGAAGGACACGACACCTGCGTATCCCGGTCAGGTGCTCACACTGTGGGCTGGGTGGAAGGATAACAACGGAAGGCCGCTTCAGTTTGATGCGTCTGTCGGGCCTGGGTATGTGTATCATTGCCACATGCTGGATCACGAGGACAACGACATGATGCGGCCGTTCAAGATTGTGCCGAATGGTCGCACTGAATGATCGTGTCGTGTTAAATGTTCGCTGATCAACGACCATGCAACGAGCTAACGTCTCGAGTCGCGGCTTTGTGTAACCATGGGGCTCTTCTTACCGTGTAGTGTAGTTAACCGGGATTGCTGATTAGCAAGTACGACGTGCTAGTAGCTAGGATGCTTATTCATGGGATCACTGGCAGCAGTTGACCAATGGGATCTGACTTCGTGATGGTCCGCTAGGGACGAACTGAGCTAACTATTCTGTTCTTGTGTAGATTGCAATGTTGCTGCCACACGCTGGAGTGGGCAGTCGAATTCTAATTGTGGTTAACCATATATTTAAATACAGTACTATACAACGGCACAATGCACACCTAAGAACTACATTGCTTTTGCTTTTGTTATTGTCAAGGCGTTAGTACCTGAAACATGCAGACACGCTATGGTTCTCGTAATACGTATCAATACGAGTTCCCGGAACTTTTCTTGTGTATCTTCAAAGGGCGCATCATGTCGTTATCCTCATGGTCCAGTATGTGGCAATGCCACACGTAGCCCGGGCCAGATGTAGGGTCAAACTCAAATGGCTTGCCGTCCTGTTGTGTGATTGCAGGGAAGGGGGGTTGGATATGAAGGTGGAAATGCAGGAGAAGTGTTAATGTCACAAAGTGAGGAGGGAGGATGAGGGTGGACAGACCAGGTTTGGAGTGTACACAGGATATACAACAGCAACGTGTTTGTTGTGACACTTGGGTTGCGCCTCACTCTGACTGACAATTGCGGGATTGGGAACAGTAGAAGCCCAACCACCACCAACATTCCCAGAAATCTTTCCCACTTTATCCTCCTCTCTCCCTTGCCAACTTCCACCTCGCTTCCGACAGCTGTGAGCTCACCTGACCGTACCAGCCGACCCAGAACGTGAGCACTTGACCCGGCAGCGCAGGCACCGTGTCTTTCCACCCAATCTCGTGTTTCTGCGCCTTCATCTCCGGTCCCACAAAGCACGACGGACGGTTCTTGCTCGTGAAGGAGCACTTGTTCGCCTGGTACGCCATGGCGTCGAAAGCGCGGCGTGAAACGACCCGGAATTGCACCAAGTGCAAGTGAATAGGGTGCGCGTCGGCCGAGAGGTTGATGATGTGCCAGATCTCGTTACTGCCTTGTACAGGGATCTCCGTTACTGGGTCCATATAACGAAGCCCGTCTATAGTGGCTCGTTCTGGCATGCCGCTTATAGGGTTGGTAGTCTCCACTAGCTTCTTCCAGCGCACTCTGTGGATCTTGGAGAAGTCTATAGAGGGGACAGGCTGGAAGGGATGTGGTGGATAGGGGATAGAAGCGGAGAAGAGTGGGTGAGAGAGCATGTGGAAGGTTGAGTGGACAGGGGAGAGTGGGTCAAGGGGGAAAGGGGGAAAGGGAAAGGTTAATTCATTGAGTGATCTTGGAATAAGAAACAAGCCAGGAAAGGGGGAGGATCGAACAAGGGCAATGGGGGAAATGCCAAGGGGAAAGAGTTAGGAAGACCCGTACAACTATTAGGAAATGCCAAGGGGAAAGTGGCAAGGAGGAGGAGAAGTGGCCAGAAGCGTACAACAATTCTCTTGGGAATTGCTGGGGCCTTGAAGGGACTGCGGTCGAGGATCACAAACCGCATCACCACGCCCGTGTTGCCATCCACCGCCTCTCCCCCGGGATACGGCGCTGCAGCATCATTCGTTAAAATCACATCCCTGCACGCGCCGCCCTGCTGCGCCGCGGCAAAGTCGACCAGAATATCGTATCGCTCCCCGGGAGCCAGCAGCAGAGAGGAGAGGAACACGGGCCGCTGCAGGTACCCCCCGTCGCTGCCAATGAGCGCGAAATTGACGACGCTTCCGCGAAGCGGGGGGACGAAGTTGGGGTAGTCTCCGCGCGCGGCGCACTGGAAGCGGAGGTTGAAGAAGCGCGCGTTGGCCGCGCCGAGGAGGAGGAAGCGGTACACCGCGGGGCGCACGCGCAGGTACGGCCACACCTGGGGAAGAGCAGAGAGGAAGAGCAGAGAGGAAGAGCAGAGAGGAAGAGCAGAGAGGAAGAGCAGAGAGGACACCACGCACGCATGTGGAGGAGACGTTGGAAGTTGGAAGGTTGGAACTCGCAAGTCGACTCGTAGACACGGTAATTGACGCGAGTGTGCACTCACCAAGCCGTTGACCACGATGGTGTCGCCGATGTACTCGGGAATCCAATTCGGATGCACTTTAGGATCCACGCCCACGTTGGGGAAGTTAATCGATCCGTTCTTAAAGAACAGGCGGTCCGCGATCGCCAGAGGCACGGTGCGCTTCCACGGAGGAAGCCATGCCTTCATGTCGCGCTCATCCCCGTTAGCGTCGGTTTTGATATAGAAGCCCGCCATCCCCGCTACAGTGTTGAGGCGCGTCCAAGCGAGCGTGTGGTCGTGATACCAGGTGAGGGAGGCCGGTTGCTGGTTGCGATACTCGTAGGTGACGCAGGGGGAGGAGGAGGACGAGGACGAGGAGGAGTAAGAGGAGTTGGGGGAGTGTGAGGAGGAGGAGGAGGAAAAGGTGGGGCCGTGCTCGCCGAACTGCGTGAACCACGCGAGTGGGTGCCCGTCGTACTTGCTCATCGTCTCGCCACCGTGGTGGTGGGGCACTGGGGGAGGGGAGGGGTGGATAGACAGTCGGGCAGGCGGCCAGGCAGGCAGGGAGGTGGGAAATCATGTAGACGACCGCGGGAAGGCAGGCAAGCAAGCGAGCAGGTGAGCATTGGAGTCGACTCAAAAGCGGTGGGCAGGAGGCCGCGACAAAGCTAGGGCGCCCGGCCTTTACAGCATAACTGAACTACCCTGGGCTCGCGCTGTCCAGCTCAAAAGAGTCAGTAAGTACGCTTATCGACCAGTAAGTACCCGTCAGAGTCGACTCAAAGCGCACTCACCGGTTGGAATGCCTCCCTTTTTCGGCTTGGGCATTTCTTTCATGAGCGTGTAGTCCTGCGTGAACATGTGCTGCCGGTCCTGCAGCCGGTTGCACCAGGTTACCCGCGTGGTAACCCCCTTTTTCGCCACGATCGTCGGCCCAGGGTACGACGCGGTCTTCTCGCTCACGCCGTACGCGTAGATCTTCGTCGCGGGAAGGTCGCGGTGAAATTTCTGCACGCACAGTCACACACAGGACGATCTGTCACAGCCGCCAGTCACAAGTTCGTCACCAGTTCCTGTTTTTGAAGCACACGCTCGTTCATTCGTCCACGTACCGATCACCCAATTAAGCTCGTCATTATTGTGCATGAATATTCAGGCAACATAGTCACTCGCTGAGCCAACGCCGAGCCGCACCTGGTATGTCTGGTAGACGCCGATGGTCAGCGTCTTGCCGGAGCCGCCGTCCAACACGGGGATCACGCGCGACGTGAGGCTGTCGACGAACTTGCAGAGCGGCTTCGCGGGAAACGCGTTCACGCAGCCGGGGCCCGCTATCGACTCCACCTCCACCGCGTTTAGCGCGCGCCGCGATTCGCGGAGCGACTCGGGCGACGGAGAGGGTTCCACCTCGAGCGCCTTTAGCGCAAGCGCGGAACGGAAGGGCGAAAAAAACGGGTGGTCATGAGCAGTCGCCGATGCGCACGTGGCGGACAGCAGGAACGCCGCGATTGCGACGCCCCGGAAGGCGAGTGCGCGATTACTAATTTCCCGCATGCGAGCGCGCATGGCAGCACTCCTTTGCGACCGGCGCTGTATGCGCGTTTGTGGCACCGTGCGGCACCGAGTGGCACCAGGTATGACCGGGTAGCAGCGTAAGAAGCCCCTGTGCGGCGTGACAGTGCACTGCACGAGCCTGCTTTCTAGAGACTTCTAACTTCAGGAGAAAAGTGGTTTATTATGTGGGAGGTTTTCGATGAGATGTGAAGCCAGAAGGCAAAGAAGCTGTACTGGTAGCACGAGCAGCACTCATTTATGACTCTCATGAATAATCAAAATATCAGTAGAGGATGATGGGTATCGAGTAGACTAGTTCCAAATGAAAAAGGGGGGATTTGAAAAGGTGGCAGGTTGATAAGCAAGTCATTTTGGAGACTGCGGGAAATACAGCATAGCCAGCAAGCCTTTGCCCTCTGTATTGTACTGATGGAAGCTTTCGAGATCGCTGTGCCGCGAAAGGACGTTCCGTGCGGCCTACTGTGTCGATGGTAAAGGCGACAGCTAAACACCTACCCAGACGCTGTTGCGCTGGATTGTGGAGTGAGCAAGACATCAAGGAAGAGGGTTGCTTTGTCAACTCCTCAAATGCTTGTTTTTTGGCTCAAGCCAAAACCGTGATGGGTGGGGTGGGGAGGCAGAGGATCAAATCACATGGTTGGACGGTGCTCATTAAATTGTGAATATTATTTCAGGCTTCTAGTACGGTTCAGACTGTTCTCCCCGTGGTTCACGTACTCGTTGCTTGGTTGTGCTGGCAAACATATGGTTTGAATGTCAATGTTGCTCACTTACTGCATCCGCGCTTCGGAATGCCCTTCACTCTGTAAACGCGCTTCGCGTTGGTGCCGCCCGCCATACATCACGCGTCGCTGCCCTTGCTAGCCCCACTTTCAGTGACGAAGACTGTTGAGCAGCTTACCGTGAACATTCCCCAATCGTTGATCGCCATGCTGGCATCGGAATTTCTCTCGAGCCTTGTCGCAAGGAATCGTGCTGACCTGTTCTTTGCCTTCTGATATTATCGCCACAAACCTTCATCGCCGTTCTTCGCAGAGTTACTGATCATCATCAACGTGTTCACCGAACATCGACATAAGCTCGCCAAATCCGCGCTACCAGCACAGTGGCGTTCATTAGATCGAACAAGACGCAACATATGGAACACAAGTATTATTGCACCAATAAAGAATGAATACAATTACCTACCTACACTTCGCCTGTGCATGGCAATGCGAGGTAGCCGCTTCAGCACATGCAACCTTGCATTTGCTAAAACCTCCAAAAGATCTCTACCTGCCACCCATGTTGTACTCTTGTCTCGGATA